TTTATCCTATCTTATCTTATATATATTATAAAAGAGTTTAAATAAATATATATATATATATATATATATATATATATATATATATATATATATATATATATATATATATATATATATATATTCTGGCGAAGCACCAGTGCAAGATGATAAGTGAGGATAAAAGCGTATCAACTAGCCATCGTTATGAATTCCACAAGAATTAACCACGATGATTTCCAGGGGGCACCGTGTGGAGGTCGACCCGTTATGGCATTTTGCTAGCAATAGGGCTGTTAGATCCCGTTACTAACTGTCCCTTTCCCCTCTCTTAATATGTATTACATATATTAAAGATCTTAATGGCGCAATGTTAGGCATGTTCATCAGCATCATCCGATATGATATCAGCCTTTAACTGTCCACTGCTGAACATAGGCCTTACCCTTGCGCAGTTTTGTCATTAGTTGCCACGCTTAGTAGGCGTTAGTTAGTTAGGCTTTGGAGATATTTAAAGAGGGACGCTGCTGCCCATCCCTCGCCCTCACTAAGTCGCCTCTTACGACACCCACGGGAAAGGAAGTGGCCTATTCTATTGCTTTGCCTACATTCTAAGTTGTATAAAACAAAACAAGAATTCGTTTTATATTTTGTATATAGGTAACATATATCCCTATACTTTTATCGTGAGTCACTCGTACAAAGCCGTGAGTTACAGCTAGTGTTCCGTTACAATTTCCACGGAGAAATAGTAATTTACGTAGTACCTAGTATGCCAAAGGTTTACATACTAGATTTGTGAGTGCGATTACAAATTTTATATAAATTTGGTAATTTCTCTTACACGCAAACCAACGGATGTACTATAAATCATATAAGGCGAGGTATTAAAGCAGAAATCTCCAAATACCTATAAGTGATATGTGAGGAGAGAGGTTCTTGTCCAACAGTGGGACGTAGTTGATTCGGACGACGATAAGATGTATTTGTTTGTATCTTTTAGTAGTTTTGAGTTCCGTGGATAATATTAGGCCAATGAAAGGACGACGTTCTGAATTCATCTGTATCTTTGTACGTTTTACATGATAACATCACCGATTCTAAACTGATTTTGATATTTTTTTTGCAATCGCTAGAGTTTATTCTCGTTATGGTCCCATATTGATATTGTGAAGATGGAGACTGCCTTTTTTTAACATAAACAAATTGTTGCAAAGTGCAATATAAAGTGTAGATCGTACTTCGTACAGATTCTACATGTGGACATTAGATTCTGCATTTTTAAGTAAAATTTAAAATATTTTTTAAAATAACATCCAATTTACATGAAAAGGTTTTGCTGGAAGAAATCTCTTAGTCGAGATAAGCTCGCCTTTGTACATTATGTTTATAATGAATTGTGGTTAACATTATATTTTGTGTACAATAAAGAATAAAATATTTATCTCAAATAGTAACTTTTTGCGTCTAAAAATATACTCGTTAAAAATACGTGATATAGTACAAAATGTTGATTTAAGAAATATAAAAAAAATACTCTAATACCTCCTATTTGACTATTATAAATTACTACACGATTAATAAAACGAATTAATTTCACCACTGTTATTGTCCGCCTCAAAACACTGACACCCTACTCACCCCCAAGCCGTGCCACCCGCGGGGTTCAGACGGGCCACGTGAAACTCAGTAATGCCACAACGATGCCCACGACGGCCCGTTCGCGGGCTCGCAGGCTGACAACATTGTTTATGGATAATCAAAGATCGAGAGAACACGTTTATTTCATAATAAAACAACAAAAAAGCAATTTTCAAATTCACCCCCAAGCGTATAAAGTTTAAAATCGTAAAATTAATGTTAGAACGCTTAGCTAGCATATTGTCTATTTGTTTTCTTTTGTATTTAGTTACCTTAATAGTGTTGTGGTTTCCGTTGTCGAAATACAAACATATTGCCTTTTGAAAATTATCTCCAACGGAATATTATATCTGAGTCACATAGAATGTATAACTTTACAAACATATTTTTCTATAACAAATAACAGTTGGAGTACAATAAAAAGTGTTGTGATTAAAGTAAATAGACTAAACTTTAGTAAGCAAAGACTTTTGTAAGTGCCTGAATAAGTATCACGTATAATACGATACATACAAACATATACATAGAGTAAAGATATTACAAAGTGTGTAAGACATATATAAATGTACGCAGAGTAATGAAGTGAAATAAAAAATAAGAAGGACCAACCGTATTGTAATAAATAAAAAGTGGAAAATCATTTCATGCGTTAAAGAATGAACCGTATGTACTTTCTATAAGAGTTAATTTGTGTTGACAGACCAATTATTAAAATAAAGTTTGCGGTAAATGTAAAAGGCAACAAAATCGAAAACAAAGCAAGAAAATCGAGCAAAATTTGCAAGAATAATTCGCAAGAATCAACAAAGAAAACTGTATGCGGCGAACACAAAGGGAAGTACAATCAAATAGAAAATTGTCTACGATTTGAACAAATAAATAAAGCAAAATTCTACGGTACGAGCAAAGATGTATACCGCTGGACACGGCTAACATGGTGCTGAAGGTCAAGGTCAGGCTCAAGTACTCCCAGAATCACATTGTTTGCCTGTTCCGCCGAGTGAGTATTGACACCCTGAATTCGTAGTGACCATTTTGAATAACCATCTTACATTTCTAATATAGATTTACATAATTATTTAGATTTAAATATAAAGATTTTACGTGTTAATTTAACAAGTAAAAAAGAAAATAGTATGTACTCAAATTAGATTTTTGTTTTCTTGTAAAAAGTGTGTTATCTTCGCTATTTGTAAATAGAGTTTAGTGAGTTTATTATTTGAAAGATTTTATATTAGAACTAGTTTATACTAGTTACTTGGTTACTTTTACCACAGGGAGACTTTGTACAAAAGTCGATTGCTTGGGTACCTCTGTCCCATTCGTGTTTCAACCGTAAAGCAGTTGTGTTTGCATGGCTGTGTTTCGGTTTGAAGGGTGGGATATGGCGTGAATTTACAGGGTACAGAGGAATAACACCTGAATCCTCAGGAATGGCAACGCATAGTGGGGTATCATGGGCGAAACAGTATACTCTGTTATGTCCATGGTACTGCTCATGTCTATAGGCGACGGTTACAACTTTCCATCAGGTGGGCCGTCAGCTTGTTTGCCATTCTAAAATGTATAAAAAAAAAATAACTTGGTACACGTGGATATCAGAAGTGGAGAAATTATCTTTTTTTTTTTTTTATACAACTAATACCTAAATAGAGTATCGAGTATCAAACACAAGATTTTAAGTTACATAGGTCTTCAGAACTGTGAAACTAGCATCCAATTTGGTGCATTAATTGCGTGATACCGGAACATATATATATATATATATATATATATATATATATATATATATATATATATATATATATATATATATATATATATATATATATATATATATATATATATATATATATATATATATAGACAGGCATATATTGGTCTTATTAAAATCTCTTATATTAATTTCTCTTAAATATCTCTATATATCTTATATATAAAATTCTCGTGTCACGGTGTTTGTTACCAAACTCCTCCGAAACGGCTTTACCGATTTTTATAAAATTTTGTGTGCATATTGGATAGGTCTGAGAATCGGCCAACATCTATTTTTCATACCCCTCAATGATAAGGATGACCCTCCGCAATTTTTTTTTAATTTTTTTAACAAATTTTTCCATTTTTATTTTATTATGATTTAGCATTGAAAAATACACACAACTTTAAATTTTCATTGTTTTACTATCAACCCCTGTCTTTTAATAGCGATTTTTATATTTCGCAATAAGTGGTAAAACAACGTTTACGGGGTCAGCTAGTAACTTATAATTTTGTTATATTTATTTATTTATTTATTGGAAAACCAACAGCTTATAATTTATAGCTTAAAACAATATTGATAAGATAGTCATGTGCAATGTATGTACTTATACATTTTTGAACGGTGTCTCATGAATGTATATTGTAACTATACGTTGTGTCGTACTTGACGTACCTCAGGTTCAAATCCCGGATTTAATGAGTTTAGTAAAATGGATAAATCGTTTTAACTTATTAATGTGTTAATTGAAAATTAATGAATTCAAATAATATACCATTTTAAGCAGATTTTCTTCAAGTATATTCTTAATTGTTAAATCTAACCAACTTGGTAGTTATTTTCGTCTATGCAGGAAATAAAAGAAATATTTAGTATTTATGTAAACGTTTAATATTGTATAGTAATGGCGGACATAATAACTTATCGACGGTTAACCACCAATACCTCTTAACTGGCATTATTTAGCAATAGAATTTTTTTCTAACTTACTTATTTCATTTCCCATGTTATTATAAATAAATAATAAATACATCGGTATATTGAGAATTTATATTAAAACCAATTATCTTTTTGGTTTCATCGAGTTTGGAATAAAATCAGAATTAGGATGTTTTCTGCGGCACCCGTCGATTGTTATCCATGTAAGGAGTTATTGGCATTTAACCGTCGTAATGGCATTCTCTACCAGTTATTTCGGCATATCAGACATAATTTTGTCGTACAGAGAGTATCTATTACTAGGGGCATGATTGGAATAGAATAATTTCACTAACAAAATACGAGTATGACGTATTAGATATACATTTGGTTGAAATGCTTCAATTGGTATCTAGGAACAGTTTGTTTGGAAAAAGAAAAAATGGGGATTTAAAATTTTTCCGGGTAATTGTTCTAATTGAAACTTAATAAAAAACATTCTTTGGACTTAAACGAATATTGGACAAAAGAAAAGAAAATAAGAAAATAGTTTTAGTCCAGTCGCTGTTAAGTTTTACGCTCAGCAACGCATGTAGTTATTCAATTTTACATAGTTAGTAGGTAAATAACAATAGGTCAGGATTGCTTCGTTATCGTATATAGATAAGTATTCTTCGTGCAATTCTAAAACCAATCATTATGCTAGGAACGCGGCCTTACTGGATTGAAGAACCTCGGCAACACCTGTTACATGAACTCTATTGTTCAGTGTCTGAACAATACCAATATGTTGGTCACATACTTCTGCAGTGGAGAGTACCTGGGACATGTCAACAGGTAAATAGTTTTAGATTTTTTTTTTAAAGATAAACTCTTGGTCGTTTTAAAAATAATAATTACGTTGGCTGGAGGAGAGCTCTTTCAGAGATATGTTCACCCTTGTTTATAATATTTATAACTATGTGATTTATAAGTGCAATAAAGAATATAGTCTCGTCATAAAATGGGTCACTCCTTCCTTTCCCGTGGGTGTCGTAAGAGGTGACTGAGGACTTAATGGACGAGGAATGGGCAGCAGCGCCCATTCCTCTTAAAACGTCATCAAAAGTTATACTGCGTTTGTCATTCCATCTGGCATGTCTATAGGATGGCCTGTGTTCAGCATTGGATAGATAACAGCTTAAATGATGATGATGATGATGATATAATTATATATAAAAATACTAACGACAATTTCGTTTGTAATTTATATGGTAAAAAAATGTATCGCAAATCACTTGTAATTTCGTAGGCAAATAATTTTGTTGTCAGTTATAGTGTTATGCCTCCGTACCCTGTAATTTCACTACCATATCTCACTTTTTAATTCGAAACACAGCCATGCAAGGACAGCTGCTTAATGGCAGAAATATGAATAGACCATTTTGTTGTTTTACAAATTTTTCGTATAATTTTTCCGGTGATTTATTTAAATATGGAATAAGTCTATTTATGAATTTGGATAGTAGGTTAAAATAATATTGCTTAGAAGCAGCCACTTACCACCAGATGAGCACATGCTCCTTTGATCCCAGTGTTTGATCCTAAAGCTAGGATACCCTATCTTACACAGCCAAAAACATGTACATCCTGAGAACATTCAGAAAACCTAATTTCTTAAATTGTCTCGACCTTATATTTATTGGGATATAGCGTGAATTTACTGGGTACAGAGGAATAACACCTCAGTCCTCAGGAATGGCAACGCATGGGGGGTATCATGGGCGAAACAGTCTACTCTGTTATGTTCATGGTACTACTCATGTCTATAGGCGACCGTTACCACTTTCCATCAGGTGGACCGTCAGCTTGTTTGCCCTTCTAAGTAGTATAAAAAAAGCCTGAAATCGAACTTGGGACCTTAATTAACCAAAATAACGTGTCTATAGCTACAAATACGATTATTGCAATTGGTTAACTTGGTAACTTTGCTTGTAGGTCTCATAGCACACGCGGTGCTATCGCCGAGGAACTGGCCGCGGTAGTACGGGCGCTCTGGTCAGGGCAGTACCGTTTTATTGCCATCAAGGATCTCAAGGTGAGTTTTTAACGCAGCCCAACACTAGTAATCAGTTTCTTGTAATTTGACTATGATAAATTCCATTTAAATATGATAGATTCCTGTTTAGACTAAAATTTTTTTACTTAAGTTGTATTGTGTATGTTAGCTGTGTGATCTTGCCCTATGGCAATAACACCTGAGTTCTCAGGAATGGCAACGCATGGGGGGGGGGGGGGGTTATCATTAACGAAACAGTATACTCTGTTATGTTCATGGTACTGCTCATGTCTATAGGCGACGGTTACCACTTTCCATCAGGTGGGCCGTCAGCTTGTTTGCTATTCTAAGTAAAATAAAAAAAAGACTCCATTATTAACAACCTAATTATAATAAATCGTGTTATCTCGCAGAACGTGGTGGCCAAACATCAGCGTACGTTCCGCGGTTGCGAGCAGCAGGACTCTCACGAGTTCCTGACCATCTTAATGGACTGGCTCCATCTTGATCTGCAGTTCACCATAAGCGTGCCGTCCAACAAGGTAAGATCCCATACATATAGTGCCAGATATATTGTATTGTGTACTAGCTATTGGTTCGTTGCTTCGTACACGTGGATTTCAGATGTGGGAAAGTGTTCTGACACTCCTGGAATTAAGCACTATGGTTACCAGGGGGGACCACCGGGAGGTCGATCTGATAGTGTACATTGTTAACATTGGGACTAGTAGGCTGCATTACCAACAATCCCTTCCCCCCATTTAGACTGTTTAGGCATATATTTGCGCAATAATTTACATACTAATAACTAGCTAATTAGCATACAGACCGACGAACGATATCCGAAGCTGTAAAACCTAACCCTCCGATATATTTTTATTTCGCCAAAGGTGAAGGTCAAATTACTGGGTCGTCCTGACCTCCGCGTTTATTGCGTTTTAAATGTTCAATAACGAAAGGTTGGGGTGTTAAATCTCTCCAGTTTTTTAATTTATACACACTTTGTTAAGTTCGTTGTGCTCTGTGGCTAAGTTGCTTTCAATAAATAGAGTTGGAGTTCGACTCTTGATTGGGTCAATTTATTAAGTGTATTAAACATTTAGTCTAAAGGGTGGTCTTAACATCATATGGTGTTATCTACCAGTCGACTGTAGACAGGAATAACAGAGAATATAATTTATTTAGTATTTTTTTTGGGCAAGTTGATATGGTGGTCCACAGATGGAAAGTGTAAATAGTATACAAAAACACAAAACAAGATGACTTCAATTGTAGCAAAACCAATAAAAAATAAAAAAAAAATACCAAGCAAAAATGTGTTTTTTTTTTTTTATTTTTTTATACAACTTAGAGTGGCAAACAAGCTAACGACCAACCTGATGGAAAGTGGTAACCGTCGCCTATAGACATGAGCAGTACCATGGACATAACAGAGTATACTGTTTCGCCCATGACACCCCTCATGCGTTGCCATTCCTGAGGACTCGGGTGTTATTCCTCTGTACTCAGTAAATTCACGCCATATCCCACCCTTCAGACCGAAACACAGCCATGCACACAACTGCTTCACGGTAGAAACACGAATGGGACAGAGGTACTCAAGCAATCGACTTTTGTACAAAGTCTCCCTCTGGTAACTTTAACTAAACTGCATATCACTCGTGTTGTCTTAACTCTTCTTTGCATTATTTTTTTATTGATGAAATAAATCAAAGTGATATAATTCATGTTCAAAATTAAAGGAAAAATGGTTAAAAAAATAAATTTGACAGCTATGTTTTTTTTTCTGCAATGAACATTAAAAAGGTATCCAGACACGATCAACTTAAAGTGAACTTGGCGTTTTATATAATTTTTGGGCATTCAATGTTATGATGGAAATTTCCACCATTATGCAAAGAAGGGTTAAGGGTACGTTTTAAGGGTATCAATCTTGTCCAATGTCTTATGTATCTATAATTAACTATATATATTTCGGATTGTTATCTGTTGTGTTTTCCAAATAAAATAAATGAATAAAACCAGTTCTTTTAATTTCATAACCAAACTACTGATGGTTTAATGCTCCTTTCCACTCAGGGTTTGCTGTAAAAGAACTCTCACAGAGTTAAGCTCGCCTGTACATTTTCATTTAATACATACTTTAACTATGTAATTTTTGTGTATTGATAAAGCAAAAATAAATAAATAAATATTTTGTTCTGTAACTCCGTCTGATTCCGATTTTCTTCCGCAATCAGGACGATCTGCCCGCGTCGGAGAAGGCGTGGTACGAATATACGAAGTCGAAGGAGAGCATGATCCTACAGTTGTTCTACGGACAAATAAAGTCCACGGTGATGTGTACCGTGTGCGGAAAACAGAGTGTGACGTATGAGTCGTTCTCAAACCTCTCGCTCGAGATGCCGGCCAACTCCAACCGCTGCTCGCTAAGTGTAAGTCTTACATATATATACAATGAATACACACGGCCACCTACACACTACCACACACACACACACACACACACACATACACACTACACACAAAGAGGTACGCAAACGTCGACACATACAAAAATACATTTACACATACTCATACAACCTCTATACAGCTTTAACTGCTTTCCAATTCTAACTACTGTTTAGTGTAAGTCTCATATACAATACATATATACACACATACACACCACTGGCTATACACAAAGAAGTACGTAGACGTAAAACACACAAACATACATTAACACATACTCATACAACCTCTATCCAGCTCTATCTGCCTGCCAATTTTAACTACTGCTCGGTTAGTGTGAGTCTCATATACAATACATACATACATACACACATACACACCACTCACTATACACAATACACAACTCTTTGTGTCTCTTTATACGCACACACACAAACATACATTACATACAATAAAATACTATAATGGTTAAAATAGGTTATTAATTTTCATAAATAACGAGGATGTTTGTATGAACATTGTCGTGGGTTTCAACATAGAATGAGCCGCTCAGTGCGACTGAGAACTGCAAATTTATACATTTATTTATAATAATATAAAACAAATTGTATTGAACTTGTTGTATTGGCTTGTCGTCGCGGATGACCGGCCCAATGTAGTACAAGGTCAAGAGAGCCGCACACAAAGTTAAATAATTCTAAGAAATGATTATTAACGCTATAAAACTCACTTGCAGGACTGCCTCAAATTGTACCTCAACGGCGAGACGATACCCGGCTGGAACTGTCCGAGCTGTAAAGAGAAACGGGACGCACTCAAGAAGTTAGACATATCGCGTCTCCCGCCAATATTGGTTATTCATTTTAAACGGTTCTACGTTGACCCACAAGAGTATATGTGCAATACATATCGTAAAAAGCAAACGTTCATAGACTTTCCTCTAGAGGACTTGGATATGAGCGAGTTCTCATTGAATTGCTCGAACAAGAATATGTACGATTTATACGCTGTGTCGAATCATTATGGGTCCATGGAGGGCGGACACTACACCGCGGCCTGCAGGAATACAGTGACTTCCAAGAATGTAGCGTGCAATAAACACAACGGCTATGGCAAGTAAGTGTCTATTTAAATATTATTAACTTTTACCGTGTTTTTTTTTTTTTATACCACTGAGGTGGCAAACAAGCATACTGCCCACCTGATGGTAAGCGGTTACCGTAGCCTATGAACGCCTGCAATACCAGAGGTATTACGCGCGCGTTGCCGACCCTGAAGAAACCTCTTTACCCCCCTTTTGAAGAACCCCATGCTGTAGTCTCTCGGGAAAACCTCGTGTACTCCCAGTATAGACTAGGCCACCCATTTCCTTTCCCGTGGGTGTCGTAAGAGGCGGCAACTATAGGAGGGCGAGGAATGGACACCAGTGAAGAATGATAGGTGAGGATGAAAAGGCAGGTCAGTTAGTCATTCCAGGTGAATTCATCACGATGGTTTCCAGAGGGACTGTGAGGAGATCTGACAGGGTGTATTGCTAGCAATGGGACTGATAATTTTTCCCCCTATAGATGATAGTTTTTTTTTAATGGATGATAATGGAATGGTAACCCCAGCCGCGCTATCGGTATACACCGGCGGGGCACCAGTGAAGGATGATAGGTGAGGATGAAGTAGGTCAGTTAGCTCATCGTGACGAATTCAACAAAATCGTTCACGATGGTTTCCAGGGGGAACCACATGGAGGTCGACCTAATAAGGCATATTGCTAGCAATGGGGCTGTCAAACTCTATTACTAACAATCCCTTGCCCCCAATAGATGATAGTTAGGTGAATGTAGGTAATTTGGACCATTGTTTTTTTTTATAAAACTTATAATGCAAACAAGCTGACGGTCCACCTGATGGAAAGTGGTAACCGTCGCCTATAGACATGAGCAGTACTATGGACATAACAGAGTACACTGTCTCGCCCATGACACCCCCCATGCGTTGCCATTCCTGAGGACTTGGGTGTTATTCCTCTGTACCCAGTAAATTCACGCCATATCCCACCGTTCAAACCGAAACATAGCCATGCAAACACAACGTTTCACGGATGAAACACGAATGGGACAGAGTTACCCAGGCAATCGACTTTTGTACAAACTCATTTTTTTTCCTCCCAGCACAATGGTACTATATTATACCCTATAATAACACTGCTATATCTTACACTTCTGAAACTGAAACACTGCCATGTGGGACACAAACAAAGGGGACAAAGGTACCCATGCAAACGTCTTTTGTACAAACGGTAAATAACCAATATATATTTTCTTCCAGATGGCATAAATTCGACGATCACCTAGTAACAGTGATATCGTCGGCCGAAGTGAGGTCGAGCGCCGCGTACATTTTGTTCTACGCGTGCCACGACCCGGCGTCCCTGTCGTGATGGCGGCGGCCTCGCCCGCGCCCGCAGCGCCCCCGTGCGGCCGCCACGTACCTCGCGGCGCCCTACGGCAGCCAACACTTGAATAAGCCTGTTCCACACTATACTGACAACCTATTTTCACCGAAATACACGACGGTCGCGAATAACTTCCATTTAACATAGTTTTTTTTTAATGGGTGATAATGGAATGGTAACCCCACCCACGCTATCGGTATACACCGGCGGGGCACCAATGAGGGATGATAGGTGAGGATGAAGCAGCTCAGTTAGTCCATCGTGACGAATTCAACAAGAATTGTTCACGATGGTTTCCAGGGGGAACCACGTGGAGGTCGACCTGATAGGGCATATTGCTAGCAATGTCGAACTCCATTGCTAACAATCCCTTTCCCCATTCCATTTAACATAGTTGAGTTTAACTAAAAAAAAATACAAGTAAACCTTACAGGTTACTAAAAATACAATAAATAAATAAATGTTTTTTTTTCCAACTCAGGGTTTGCTCGCCCTTTTTTGTATATAACAAAGAATAAATAAACAAATTAATTAAGGAACAGGTGTGTAGGTACGATTTTCCTGCAAAGGTCATTCATCGCATTCCTATATATTTTATTGGTGGTAATGGTTGTTAGAACTAGTCCAACAGTGGGCTCTTTGGAATTCATCCCGCGATCGTTGCAAAGAATTCTACCTTGAAACACCCAGTGCGGTCGTCCGGGACTTTCTCATGTGTAAAAATCTATACTAGTGAATTTAAATAGTATTACCTACTTATCTATTTTTACCAGAGGCAGACTTTGTACAAAAGTCGATTGCTTGGGTAGTTCTGTCCCATTCGTGTTTCTACCGTGAAGCAGTTGTGTTTGCATGGCTGTGTTTGAAGGGTGGGAATATGGCGTGAATTTACTGGGTACAGAGGAATAACACCTGAGTCCTCAGGAATGGCAACGCATGGAGGGGGTATCATGGGCGAAACAGTATAATCTGTTATGTCCATGCTACTGCTCATGTCTGTAGGCGACGGTTACCACTTTCCATCAGGTGGACCGTCAGCTTGTTTGCCATTCTGAGTTGTATAAAAAAAAAATCTAAAAACAAATTAGTGTTTAAAAAACTGTATGGAACAGGCTTGTTATTTTTATACATATATATAAAATGTCATAATTTGTATAAAATGTATAATGCGTGTAAAAAGGCTTATAATTATATTGAAATAGTGTTAATTTATAATTTGTCTTGTTTCGAGATATGTTTGTTGTGATCCTGTAAGTTGATAGTCGTGGGCGTCTATGGTGGTATGGTGTTTATAGTTCACTATAGACTTGCCACGTTATCGGACATTGATTTTGGAAAAATTGGATTGGAGCAAAATGTATCCAAAATGTAAGAGGACAATTTTTAACTCTTGTGACAGTATTGTGAACAATTATAATTTATAAGCGACCTCAAAAATTTGAAGTGATTATCGAATCGATTGCTGTAAACAAATGTATATAGGATACATAAATAGATTGTAAATTTAAGTGTAAGGCAAACTTTATTAAATTTTTTGTTAATATAATACATATTTGTTTAAATTAATATTCCCTTGAACATCTTGCCAAGTCGACCCAGTAGGGATAGGGAGAGTAGGGGGGAAAGGGATTGTTAGTAATGGAGACTAAGAATCCCATTGCTAGCAATATACCCAACCAGGTCGATCTCCTCGCAGTTCCCCCTGGAAACTATCATGATTAATTCCTGATGAATTCATCATGACGGGCTAACTGGCCTGTTTTCATTCTCATCTATCACCCTTCACTGGTGCTCCGCCAGCGTATCCCGTTAGCACAGCATTACATACACATAGCATACCATTTTCATCCAATAAAAAAAAAAATTGGGAGCGTATTTTTAATTTATTCAAACGGGAGTGTCATTTCCTCATTATACATTAGGTTCTACAACAAACCGACTTTAATTGTAGTAAAACCTTGAGTTTTGATTTAAAAACTATATTACTGAACCGATTTTGATGAGATTTCTATGAGACTAATATGTTAGCTGTATGCTTTACAGATAAATAAAAAATTCCAAATCTGTTTATAACTGATAGAGATATGAGGTAACAATCATAAAATACTGTGGCAGGAGATTGTAGGAGCTCCCCAGGCTTCAAGACTTTATAAACACTCGGAAACCAAATTGGTCTGTTGAAAAAGCCAGACGGTACCTATACGAGCTCACAGAAATATAAATATTATTATAAAATTTATTAAAAAAAAAAATCATACAAAGACATGATACAGTGGAGTCTACACTAGGCGAACCTGTAACGTGGGCACCCGACAAATACATAGTGTGCGGGTATTAATATGTTTTTTTTTATACAACTTAGAATGGCAAACAAGCTGACGGTCCACCCGATGAAAAGTGGTAACCGTTGCCTATACTCGTAAACGTGAGCAGTACTGTGGACATAACAGAGTATACTGTTTCGCCCATGATACCCCCCATGCGTTGCCATTCCTGAGGACTCAAGTGTTATTCCTCTGTACCCTGTAAATTTACTGCCATATCCCACAATTCAAACCGAAACACAGCCATGCAAACTGCTTCACGGGGGGAAAGGTAACAATACCATATCAGGTCGACTTACGTGGTTCCCCCTGGAAACCATCGTGAACAATTCTTGTTGAATTCGTCACGATGGACTAACTGACCTACTTCATCCTCATCTATCATCCTTCACTGGTGCCCCGCCGGTGTATACCGATAGCGCGGGATAATTACTCGATTTATTTAATTGATTTTGTAATAAATAAAAAATGTTGTACTGTTATGTAAATATTTTTAATGAGAAACTTTTTCTGTCATTTTTGGTCACCATGGCAACGCGTGGGTTTCTCAGTTGCCAGTATTATTATCTATTTATTTATCCGAATAATTGAACTAAACAAAGCTCTCTCTATATATATATATATATATATATATATATATATATATATATATATATATATATATATATATATATATATATATATATATATATATATATAGTATATATATATATATATATATATATATATATATATATATATATATATATATATATATATATATATATATATATATATATATATATATATATATATATATATATATATATATATGATAACATGTTTGTATGTATGAAATGGACATATAACAGTGGGATATTTAACAATAGTTATTCTATGTTTATATATATTTATATTTATATGTGTCTCTATACGTATACATATTATATTATAAATATATAGTCCGCCTGTATACATTTTGGTATAACCTAATATTTATAAGTGAATGCACAAAACCATATAAATAAATAGATAGATAGATAGATAAACTTTTTATTTGAGCCATTTATGACACACGTAAATTAACGAATGAGTTTATACAATCAGATTATTTACATTTTTTCAAATATAAAACAAAAGATGAAAAGATGAAGTATGGAGATATGTTTTCACCAAGTGTGTCGTAGTGACCCAAATAAATAAATGTAATATTAAATTTTAACATACAATATTTTATATTAAACTAAAAATGGCCCCCACCACAGATGTAGACTAAAGGCCCACAGACCCTAAATGCGTCGCTGCTAATACATATCACTTAGTTTTCATTTTGTACAGTTTTTTTCGATCTACAAATTTGCCATTGAGATATCCTGAGCCTATGGATTCGCCTGTTGACGTCATGGCGAACTCGACGTTCACGCCCCCTTTCTCGAACGGCCACACGTTGGGAAAGTTGTCCGTCTGAATTGACAGGTTCCCGAAGCGATACACGCCCTGGTGATGAGATTTATTATTGCTAATTTTTTTTTAATACGATCGTGTCTCCGATCAATATGTTTATAATTACTCCTCTCCATCCAAAGGTTGCCTGGAAGAAATCGCTTTTAGCAATAAGGTCACCCATTGTTTTCTCATTGTGATTATTTCTTGTAATTGTTTATATTTATAATAAGTTTACTATTGTAATCTTTTGAAGGAAACAATAAAGAGTATCTATCTATCTATCTAATACAACTTAGAACGGAAAACAACAAAACAAGCTGACAGCCCACTTGATGGAAAGTGGTGACCGTCGCTAGACATGAACAGGTTCATCATCATCAACATTTTAACAATCGTTAACTGTCCACTATTAAACATAGACCTCCCCCATAAAGGACAGTTGTGACAATAGTTGCCACGCTTGGCAGGCGGATGGCAACCGCAGTTGGGCTTTAGCGATGTTTTTATTATTATAAATGTGAAAGTGAGTATGTTTATTTGTTACCTTATAGCGCTTGTTAATAAATAATCCCTTCTCTTCTATTCTTTTTCATTCTTCTCCCTTCTCTATCATTCTCATCCATTCCCTCACATTCTCTGCAATTCTATTCTATTCTACCTTGTGTAGAGGACACGTGTAGCCAGTTTTCACCAGGATGCCGCCAATCATTCCATCCTTGTCGAGCAGGTCGCACAGCTTGTAGTGGAACTCAATGAAGGAACGCCGGTATTCGTTGTGCAGGTATTCGGTAAAAACGAGGTGCACCTAAACAAGATTTAGAACACCATAATGGAATGGTTACCCCGCCTGCGCTTGATATACGTTGGCGGGGCACCAGTGAGGGACTATCATGCCTCACTGTTGCCTTGCAATTAACTCAAATTCAAATTATATTTATACAAGTAGACTTATTTACAAACATTTTTGAAACACCTTTATTTATGAATCAACCGATTGGTGAGGATGTAAAGCAGGCCTACGGTATGGGGTCTTTCAAAAAGTGTAAGTGTAAAGATTTCTTCAAGGTCGGTAACGCGCACATCTCTAGTGTTGCAGCCGTCTATGGGCTACAGTGACTGTTTACCATCAGACAGGCTATATGTTTTGATTGCCACCTTTGTGGTATAAAAAAAGCCAATTGGCCAATCATGTCGAATTTAAGGAAACCAGTTACTAGGTGCCATCGCGTAAACGTCGATTTGACAGTATATTGTACGCCCTGTCAGGTCTACCTCCACGTAGTCCCTTCTGGAAATCATCGTGCTGAATCCCAGGTGTACTCATCACGATGGGCTAACTGACCTGCCTTTTCATCCTCACCTATCATCCCTCACTGGTGCCCTGCCAGCGTATACCGTCAGCGCAGGCGGCGTTACCATTCCATTATCACTTATTGACTGTCCAATGGTCGGAAGATTTATTTGTTTGTTTCTATTTTCATTAAGTTGTAACAGATTACAGGTAGTTTAAAGGCGATAGGACCAGAAGGAGACTTTGTACAAAAGTCGTTTGCTTGGGCACCTCTGTCCCATTCGTGTTTCTACCGTGAAGCAGCTATGTTTGTATGACTGTGTTTCGGTTTTAAGGGATATGACAGTGAACTTACAGGGTACAGAGGAATAACACCTGAGTCTTCAGGAATGGCAACGCATGGAGGGTATCATTGGCGAAACAGTATACTCTGTTATGTCCATGGTACTGCTCATGTCTATAGGCGACGGTTACCACTTTCCATCAGGCGAGCTGTCAGCTAGTTTGCCATTCTAAGTCTGTATTAAAACAAGGGCACTGACCGAAACGTTGTTCACCCAGGTGTCTAGTGTCTTGGCTTCACCGTTTAGATAATAATCACCACCTCTGCGGTAGCGTCTGATATTCGCCTTGGCATATTCGACGTATTTATGGTTGAGGTACGATATATACACACGTTCAGGAATTATTTTCAGACACTGTTGGGAAATAAGTGCGTTAGATTATTATATATGGGAAGGATGAACTATACAAACAAAAGATTTATTTATTTTCCATATAATTATAAACCTGCCGAGGTTTTCCCAAGAGACTACAGCATGGGGTTCTTCAAAAGGGGGGTAAAGAGGTTTCTTTAGGGTCGGCAACGCGCGTGTAGTGCGTCTGGTATTGCAGGCGTTCATAGGCTACGGTAAGCGCCACCTCAGTGGTATAAAAAAAATTATATTTATTTATTTATATATACACTGTTTTTGCAGTTACATAATCCTAATGCAATAGTGTTATATATATATATATATATATATATATATATATATATATATATATATAGTTTGTTTGTTACCAGGCGAATTGGCAACCGCAGTTAGATTTTGGAGATGTTTTAAGAGGGACGCTGCTGCCTATCCCTTGTCTTCTTTTAGTCGCCTCTTATGACACCCACGGGATAGGACGGAGTGGCCTATTCTATGCCGGGACCATACGGCCCTATTGTTTGTCATCATAGTAGTATTTAAAAAAAAACAAGATAATTAAAGATTTTATTTCACAAAAAGAAAAACACCTTCAATTGTTTTCAAACCAGTTATTTTGATTTGTGAAAACTAAATTGAGGTACCGATTTTAATAAAATTACTGTGAGACCAATTTGAAAGCATATTATTTAAGATAAAAAAAAAAACAAATCAGTTTACAAATGAATAATTTATAAATATATATGTATACTAAGAACTTCCTTCTTCTTTGAAGTCGTCTGAAAAGTCGTTTGAATGGGTATCTCTGTACTAGAATTTTTTAAAATATTTTACTCACCCACACAGTTCCAATTGATAAGAAAACAGTTATATAAATAATTTGTTTTATCATTATTTTCACAAAAATTATGCAAAGTTTTAATTTTTCAAATATATCTTCATGTATCGAAACAATACACGCAATCCTATAAAATATTAAAAGCAGACTGATTCTATTCAATTTCAGGAAATACTTTATATATATATAATATATAATAATTATCCGATATTATATTCTAATTTACTGGTGGTATTAGATTTATATATATATATATATATATATATATATAAATCTAATATTTGCATGTTATACATACTTATTAAATGAGTAAATATATAATACAATAATATATATTTAACAATATATATTTGCGGCGTTTGGAGTTGAAACTCTGGGTCCGTGGGGCCCCGAGGCCATGAATCTTTTCAAAGAGATATCACGCCGGCTGGTGGAAACCTCTGGCGACCAGAAGGCTGGCCTATACTTTGGTCAACGCATTTTCATATCTATTCAGCGTGGAAATGCAGCAAGTATCCTAGGCACTATACCAGCTGGCAATGATCTCAAAGAAATTTTTTATCTTTAAATAATATATATATATATATATATCTAGATTAACTATCTCTTCTATTTAGATATTTATAGTTTATGGTTACTAAAATATAGCATTATGATGTACATATATAATAAATAATCGAATACAGTAGTTGTTAGCCATCATTTTTCTTTAATTTTTTATATATTTTTCTATATTTTTAAATATTGACCGTGTGATCTCGGCATAGAGATCTATCACCCCTCTTTTCCTGTGGGTGACGTAAAAGTCGACTAAGAGAGGGCGACGTATGGGCAGCAGCGTCCCTCTTAAAATATCTCTAAATCCTAACTGCATTTGCCATTCCGCCTGCCAAGCGTGGCAACTACTGGCAAAACCTTAAGGGGAGACTTATGTTCAGCAGTGGACAGTTAAAGGCTGATATGATAATGATGGTGACTGTACATAAAAAATTGTAAGATCAATAAATCAACAAGAAAAAAACAAACATTATTTATTTATTTAACTCTTTATTGCACCAAAAACATAAAAATAAACAATGACATATAAACAATGCAAATTTAATACATTAGCATGAAGTACAGATTAAAATATACATATAAAGGTACAAAAGGCGGTCTTATCACTAGGGAAATCTCTTACAGACAATTTACTTATTTACAGATTATATTAGTACGGAACCCTAAAAATCAGAATCAGAAGCCGAACGAACGGAAAACCAGAAAGTTCACAAAATTATGTTATTATCGTATAATCTATCTTTGGGTTTCCGTCATTAGTGCCGGTTGTTTAATACTAAATAAATGCATAAATAAAATAAAATATTTTTGCATTTTTTTGTTTGCATAATAATTATGGATGATACAGAATGAACTGTTCCTTATCAGTGGCCATAAATCGTAGTGCCGCAGTCATTACAGCGGGCTGATTACCTGTTAATTAGCAATTAATCTTCATTTGGTGATCGATTACTAATTGTCAAAAGAATGTTAACAAAATCGTTTGCTAATTGCTTAGATACTTAGAAGGCCACCATGTTAATAAAATATTTACATTTGATTTTTACATTGTATTTCATTCATTATTATTGCTACTTTTTCTTTTTCATTCCTTTTGTTTATGAAATAAAAAGAAATGAAATGAAATGAGATTTATTCGTAAAAAACATAACTGTAGTTTCTTCACTAATATTATTATTATAGTTTTATAAGGGTTTTTTTTTTTTATACAACTTAGAATGGCAAACAAGCTGACGGCCCACCTGATGGAAAGTGGTAACCGTCGCCTATAGACATGAGCAGTGCCATGGACATAACAGAGTATACTGTTTCGACCAAGATACCCCTCATGCGTTGCCATTCCTGAGGACTCAGGTGTTATTCCTCTGTACCCAGTAAGTTCACGCCATATCCCACGCTTCAAACTGAAACACAGTCATGCAAACACAACAGCTTCACGGTTGAAACACGAATGGGACAGAGGTACCCAAGCAATCGACTTTTGTACAAAGTTTCCCTGTACAAAGTCTAGTAAGTAAATGGTATGGTAACCCCGCCTGCGCTAACGGGATACGCTGGCGGAGTACCAGTGAAGGGTGATAGATGAGAATGAAAACAGGCCAGTTAGCCCATCATGATGAATACATCAGGAATTAACCATGATAGTTTCCAGGGGGAACTGCGAGGAGGTCGACCTGGTTGGGTATATTGCTAGCAATAGGATTCTCAGTCTCCATTATATATATATATATATATATATATATATATATATATATATATATATATATATATATATATATATATATATATATATATATATATATATATATATATATATATATATATATATATATATATATATATATATATATTCCTAGATATATATTAAGCCCCATAGAAATTTCATCAAAATCGATTTAGTTATTTTGGTTTTTAAATCACAATAATTGGCTTTGTTACGAAGTCGATGTTTTTTTATGGGACAAAACCTACTTTTGCTCTAAGAATTTAATTTCTCAAAAATTACGCCAACATAAAATTTCTTACTCATAATTACGAAAACCCCATCTGGCAACACTGCCTGTAGATACAGGTTTTAAATGTAACAGCTGTTTGTTGCTTTTATTTTTTTAACTTGTACCAAAACCTGGTATTTTCCTGCTTTGCCTTACAGAACCCGTACTAATTGCATATAGGCTGCAAAACGACGTTGAAATAATATACATACACACACACACACACACACACATATATATATATATATATATATATATATATATATATATATATATATATATATATATATATATATATATATATTGTGTGTAGTTTCGTTATTATAATTCTTAATAAATGTGTGGATGTAGTCGAATATTTCTGTTAAATTAAGTTTCTTTCTTTCTTTCTATACAAAAAACAAACTCTCGAATAATTCAGTACAAAAATTGTCTGTGGCAGTAATGAAGTTATGTACATGTACGCAGTTTCTTTATGTACCATCATATCTTTCAATAGATGATAATGGAATGGTAATCCCGTCAGCTTAAACGGTATACGCTGGCGGGGCACCACTGAGGGGTGATAGGTGAGAATGAAAAGGTAAGTCAGTTAGCCTATCGTGGTGAATACACCTGGAATTTAGCACAATGGTTTCCAGGGGCATCACGTAGAGGTTGACTTGATGGTATATTGATAGCATTGGGACTGGTAGTCCATACTAACAATCCCTTTCCCTCCTGTATCATCATATGTTATGCTCATAAGGGAAGTTTTATCAGTGTTGTCACGCTTGGCGGGCGGTTTGGCAACCGCGGTTAGGCTTTTCATGTTTTAAGAGGAATGCTGTGGCCATTCTCTCTACTGTTAAGTTACCTTAGTCGCCTCTTACGACGCCCACGGGAAAGGAAGGGGTGGCACATTCTATGCCGGGACCACACGGTGAAACTTCACTTAACGATAATTAATTAAATGTAGCAATAATTACTATGAAAAAGAGAATATAAGACACAACCATAGGTAGGGGGTGAGCAGCAGCGGTAGTTTGTGTGTGCTATGAAGGAAGCTGGCGTGATGATATGGTGATATTTTAAATAAAATATAAAATTTGTTCTCAGCACTGTATTGTCTCCAATGTAGCGGGGAGAAGAAAGAATGTTGCCATATTACATAAAATATAAATTTTGTTTTAGTGTTGCAATATAAAAGATTGCAACAGGGGGGGAAAGGGATTGTTAGCAATGGAGTTTGACAGCCCCATTGCTAGCATTATACCCTATTAGGTTGACCTCCACGTTGTTCCACCTGGAAACCATCGTGAACAATTCTTTTTTAATTCGTCACGATGGGCTAACTGACCTGCTTCATCTTCATCTATCATCCTTCGCTGGTGCCCCGCCGGTGTATACCGATAGCGCGGGTATGGAAATATACAGTAGATATTATTCTTAAAATCATTTATATGTATAACATGGGAGTAAACTTCATCAGTAGCAAATAGAATCATTGAAACATAATACGGAAATGACGTCATCAATATAAGTTATAAATAAATTCAAAGGAATTATTATTTTGGAAATAAGAGTCATAAAGTCAAAGTCAGTGTTACCAACGTAACACGTAAACTTGGCAATGAACCTCCGACCCGTCGATCAAGGAAACTAGCTATGTCGCGTGAAAATGAGTATACCAGGAATTTAGTGAAATACCTAGGGGTACGACGAAATATTTGCAAATGCCAATCTGTTGAATGAATAGAATAAGAATAGAATAGAATAGAAATCATTTATTCAAATAAACTTACATTGAAGCACTTTTGAAAAGTCATTACATTTTTTTTTAATTTACCGCTCGTTCGGAAAGCTGTCTCATCACAAGAAGAACGAGCAAGAAACTTGCGTGATGCTCTTTTAAATAATTTTATTATTATTTTACATTTTTAAGTTTAATTGTGTGAATACAAACCACCAATTAGCACTAATTCAATTAAATACTTAAAAAGAAAAAAAAATATTGAATACATAACCAACTGGTTAAACAATTAATAAGAGGAAATCAGTCATAGTGATTAGAGCAGACCAGTCCCTACAAGCAGCACCCGTTCACGAGTATGACGGATGAGCCAGCCATCACTGCGCTCGACCATATTTTAGGGAGCCCAATGACCCGGCCCACCACGCCGCCACAAGTCTGGACATTTTAGTGAGCATGACTACTCAAAACACTAGACCACGTCAAAGCTACTCACAATTGCCATCTGATAGTTATAGTATTCACATTTTACATAAGAATGCATGCGGCAATTAATACAAAAAACCGCTACGCTTTCATATTTCTAAAATTAATCAATTAAATCAAGAAAGCAATGAGAAAATAAAATTATAACGTTGTATGCTAATAAACTAATTATTTACTTGATATGTTGTCATCTATGAATTCGTCTATCCTGTAATAGGCTTTCTTACATAAAAATTGTTTAATATAAGATTTGAATTGCCTCTCTGTCAGATTTAATGCAGATTCCGGCAGTTTATTATAAAATAGCATGCCAAATTACATATTGTTTATAATGTATTTAGTAATTAATAATAATAATAATAATAAACTCTTTATTGCGCACAGTAGAGATGTATACAAGGAGTATTTATACAGAATGTGCATATACGAAAGGCGGCCTTATCGCTAAAAGCAATCCCTTACAGACAACCTGGTTACACAACAAAATTAAGTAAATAGGTAATGTTATTTTATTTAATTAAATACAGTAAACGAGTGAAAGTGAATTTATTTTTTACTTCTTGGCGTTTTAAATGGTTCAAACATAATTTATTACTATTTTTCTCTGCCAATAAACATATCACGGTCACACGGACAAAGTCGCGGGTAAAACAAATATTATATAGTACGAAAAGGGAATATTTTGGCCATTTTAGTGGAATTCATTTAGTTAAACGACTTATCATTTATATAATTTAATTTTTTAGCAAGTAATTGTACTAAATTGTGTTTGTGTAATGTGCATAGAAATCTGGTATTCGTAATTTTCAGTGTTTCCATGAGGATTCCAAGGATTCTAGAGATATCTCTAGACAATTTAGAGAATCCTTAATATTTTAATTTCCCCACAACATATACATATTTATGTAAACCTATGTACCTGTGCCTACTGCAGATAGACCTCAAAATATGTTTAACACCATTACTGTATTGTAGTTGTTGAGAAGTGCTTGTGTGTGTGTGTAAATTTAATTAATTTACGTCATGGTAGATACACGGAATATTGTATTGTTTACTTGTTTTGTTCTCAGTAAGTAGCTTTATTTTTTTTTAATTTAATAAATAGATAGATACAATTTATTGTTTCCTCCAAAAGATTACAATAGCAAACTTATTATAAATATAAATAATTACAAGAAATAATCACAATGAGAAAACAACGGGCGACCTTATCGCTAAGAGCGATCTCTTGCAGGCAACATTTGGATGGAGATTAGATATGTAATGGTAACCTGGCCTGCGTTAACAGTATACCTTTACCGTTACCGTCCTGGCGGGGGACCAGTGAGGAATGATAGGTGAGAATGAAAAGGCAGTTCATTTAGTCCATCGTGCCATGGCACGTAATCCCAGGAGGGATTACGTGGAGGGGTCAACCTGACAGGGTATATTGCTAGCAATGGGAGTCCGTATTATTATTAATTCACATACATTGTAATAACATTTATCAATTAAGAATTTTTTTAATTTATATTTAAATACATTAGTTGGTGCATCCTTTATAGATTTTGGTATTTTATTATAGATTTTTGGTGCCATACATAATATACTATCGTGCATAAGTTTTGTACTAGATTTTTTTAGATATAACTTATCATTATCACGTCGATTGCGTTTAACAATTTCTGAAAGTCGTGGAAATAAATTCTTATTAGTTTTAACAAATACACACACTTCAAATATGTACAATGAAGGTACTGTCAATATATTATATTGTTTGAAATACGGCATACAACTATCAGTATTTTTAAGATTAAACATGGCTCTTATGCACCTTTTTTGAGCTTTAAATACAAATTCTTTCTTCGTTGAATTTCCCCAAAATATTATGCCATACCGTAAATTTGAAGCCGTAATACCATGATACGCTGTAATGAGTTACATACATAAAGGAAAAAAATATTTTTAATGTAGTCTATGCATAATACCTAGATAGTTCATAAGCATAGAGAAATATTTATAGGATTTATATACCGGCAGCACACCTACAATGCCTCTGGTGTTGTGGGTAATTATGGGCAGCGGTAGTCACTTACCATCAGGTGAGCCGCATGCTCGTTTGCCCCCTGCGTTGTAAAAAAAAAAAAAAAGGATTATTATAGGTAAATACGAGAGTCAAACCTTGTTGAAATAATAAATCCGAATGTGAGTTTTGTTTGTTTTGTTTACTTTCAAATATTCACAAAATAATGTTGGCAGTCTTATGTATACACTTAATAGTAGTGGAATTAAACAAAATAATTCTAAACGAGTCATCAGGGGGAAAGGGATTTGTTAGCAATGGAGTTTACAGCCCGATTGCTAGCAATATGCCTGATTAGGTCGACCTCCACGCGGTTCCCCCTGGAAACCATCGTGAACAATTCTTGTTGAATTCGTCACGATGGGCTAACTGACTTACTTCATCCTCACCTATCATCCTTCACCGGTGCCCCGCCGGTGTATACCGATAGCGCGGCTGGGGTTACCATTCCATTATCATTTATTAAAAAGAAAAATCGAGTAATCATAAATAATTGTTGTGTTATTATAATTGTTTTATATTTTTAAAAGTTTTAGGTTGTAAAGGACAAAGGGACCCGTCTTTTCCGATATCGAAAAGCAGTTTCAGACCAATATTGCGGACTGCAATCAGCGGTAAGTGATGTAACAATTAGGTATAATTAGTACATTTTTTATTTTTTTTACAACTCAGAATGGCAAACAAGCTGACGGCCCACCTGATGGAAAGTGGTAACTGTCGCCTGTAGACATGAGCAGTACCGTGGACATAACAGAGTATACTGTTTCGCCCATGATACCCCCCATACGTTGCCATTTCTGAGGACTCAGGTGTTATTCTTCTGTACCCAGTAAATTCACGCCATATCTCACCCTTCAAATCGAAACACAGCCATGCAAACACAACTGTTCTCTTACAAGTTTCTATTTTTTATTTCTAATTATGATTTTATAAAATACAGATGGTAAAAAAGCATACAGCCCGTCTGATGGTAAACGGTCACCGTAGCCTATGGACGCCTGCAACACTAATGATGTCACGTTCATTATCCTGACGTTGAAGAAATTTTAATAAGCCCTTTTTGAAGGACTTATTCATAAATGAAATAGAATGGCATTCCCGCGTACTCTTCATTCCCGGTTCATGCTGAAGGGAATCCTTTTTTTTATGGTTTGCCGTACAGTATTTAAGGCATCCCGTCCTCGCTATTGGATACGGGTGACGGAATGCCTATACAGGGTATATGGTGGGCGCAGTTTAAACGCAATATTTAAGAAGCATTAGGAAGGTATGCTGAAGGGAATCAATGAAGTGTGAAAGACGATACTAGTAAGTGAGGAGGGAAGGGGATGGTTAATAATTAGGACTAACAGCTTCATTGTTAGTAAAATACCTTATCAGGTCAACCTACACGCGATTCCCCCTGGAAACCATCGTGGTTAATTCTTGTGGAATCGTCACGATGGGCTAACTGACTTGCTTTCATCTTCACCTATCATCCCTCATTGGTGCTTCGCCTGCGTATACTGATAGCGTAGGCGAGGTTACCATGTCATCTACACTCGATAAAAAAACTAGTAGGTAAGAAAGAACTATGCAATCAGGCCAGCGCTCTTCATGAATTCGCCAGGAATTATCACGATGGTTTCCAAGGAAACCGCGAGGAGGTCGTCCTGATAGGTTTATAGTTTTTTTTTATGGTTGAAAATGGAATGGGAACCTCGCCTGCGCTTACGGGATACGCTGGCGGAGCACCAGTAAAGGGTGATAGATGAGAATGAAAACAGGCCAGTTAGCCCATCATGATGAATTCATCAGGAATTAACCATGATAGTTTCCAGGGGGAACCGCGAGGAGGTCGACCTGGTTGGGTATATTGCTAGCAATGGAATTCTCAGTCTCCATTACTAACAATCCCTTTCCTCCCGATAGGTTTACAGTTAGTAATTGGGTTTGAGACTAGTATCCTTATTTGAAGAGATAAAATAAAGTCTTAATAGAGTCCATAAATTCTAAATAATGTTCCTCATGACTGTGGTAATATAATAAAATATGTTTTATTTTTATTTCATTTCAGTACCAAAAGGCAGATCCGTTTCTCTGGACGACATCATTATTAGACATTTCAGGTAAGATATATAATATTTATAATTAAAATTTAATATTTTATTTTATTATAAAACCGATTTTAATTGCGACAAAAATACTCAGTATAAACCGAAATATCAGCGAAGTTTTCGATAAAAAAATCAAACATTATATCTTTAACTTACGCTAACACACAAACAACAGTGGCTTCATTTACGATAAAATTAAATGTAAAAATATTGCAAAAAGGATTATTAAAATTGTTTTTTTTTTTTAATGGATGATAATGGAATGATGACCCCGCCTGTGCTATCGGTATACACTAGCGGGGCACCAGTGAGAGATGATTGGTGAAGATGAATAGGCAGGTCAGTTAGCCCATCGTGACGAATTCAACGATAAATTAGTTACGATGGTTTCCAGGGGGAACCGCGTGGAGCTCGACCTGGTAGGGTATATTGATAGCAATGAGGACTAACCTCCCCATTACCAACAATCCCTTCCTTCCCCCCTATTAAAATTGGTTAGGAATTATTTTTTACATTGTGTATTTACGTAACTATATAACACACACAAATAAAAGTGGAGATCTTTTATTTGTGTGTGAAAAATTAAGCCATTTATATGGCTGGCCAGGATTTGTACGTCATAGAATGAAATTAATGCCAAATTACTTACCTAGAAATTAATATAATGCATTATAGTTCCAATTCATACAGGAATAAATTGCTGAAACACTTTGTACAATGATTTAGTAACAAGTAACTATATTACTATATATATTTTAATATTTATTAGTTTAATTCACTTATAATCGTATTTTCTGATATTGCTCACAACTCAGGTTACATGTATATTTCTATAACTAATAACGCAACTTTGAAAATATTTGTAGTCTAGTGTTATTTAATTCATTACAATTGTTACTTCATTGTCTCGCACTGTATAATTATGTTCAAGCAAATGCTGTGAATACCTATAATAGGCGTGTGCATTAATATTGTATTGTATTTAATGTTTGTTATATGTGTTATAATGCAATATGCTGTTGGTGTTCCTTTAAATAAATAAATAAGTCATAACATTTAAGTTGTACAAAACAAAACGACAGATTGACAATGGATGTAATTTTTTGACCGTCAAAACGAAGAATATTACGAGATACGATTATTAAGAATTTTACGAGATTTCTGTAGTGATAACTCAAGATTTTATCTACAAATAAAAAACAATAAATTCTACCGTGAATATAAAAATGTGTATATATGTATATATATGTATTTATGTGTGTAAGTTTTTACTTATGTATTAATGTTATATTATTATTCATGTACTTTTATTATTTACATATATAGGTATATAGAGTTGTTTTTATTGTATTATATATTCAATTTTTTTACTGGGTATTATTTAGTTTATCTTTAATTGCACGGTTATTACCCTTATACATTATATAGTTTTCTTTCAGCTTGACTTTAAGACGTAAGAGATGGCTTGACTGTAAGAGATCCCTTTATGGGATAAGTCCGCCATTGTATATTAAATCATTTATCAGTGTTCAATTTAAATTATGTACAATAAAGATTTTAAAATACAATACAATATTAATGTGGAAGAAAATAAAGCTTACAAAAAAAAATAAATTAAATAATAAAAGTTACGGTATAAGAAAAAAAAAAAGTCATGCACATAAGAAAATACCGTCGAATTGAAAACCTTTTTGATTTATGAAATCTTCTAAAAATTGTTCCTTTTCTGTCCAGAATTTTATAAAGAAATCTTGCAAAGCACTTTTTTAAATAGTTATTTGGATTTATTCGCAGCTCTAACAGTTCAGACAGTACTGCGTATCGAATTAAGGCCATTACAAGATTGCTCTCGGATCCTAGTTTCGATCCTCGGCGACCGACAGTCCTGTACGCGCATGGGTATGTTAATTTCTCTTCTCTCGTTATTCTCATCTTATATTTTACGAAATGTTTAGTATAAGACTAGCTAATAAGCTGTTAAAGTACAATAGTATAAGGATCCTAACGATAATAACGCCAGGATTATCACGAGTGTGTTGTTGATAATACACAAAAAAATTTCATGCCAAAAAATCCATATAAGAATGTGAAAAATGCATGTATGGATTAAGGTCTTGATGTGCAACTGTGATTCGTTGGCAAGTATGCGTATGAGTCTACTGGGAACGGCTTATCCAAAGCCAGGGGACTACAGATATCTTAAACCGCGGGATATCGTTAAGGTAACACAAAGGATCTATGAAATGATGGTATAAGGCAGGGAGAAGCACAAAAGATCCGTATGGGTCGACGTGCAACAGCTTAGCTGACCCCATATGCGAATTTAGGATAAGATAAGGTCTTGGGTATTTGATTCTCTCTACTAATCTCTTTAAGAATCCGATGTAAATATGTATATGATATAGATATATGAGCATAAAGCATAAAGATTTTCTCGTCTTCAGAATTGATGGTAGATTCTTGTCAGTTTGAGATTTAAAGGATTCCTTAGATTACATAGATAGTGCCTCGAGCCTCAAAAATGGATCAACCTTTTGTCAGCTAATTATAGTGTTCGATAATGTAAGATTGTTACGTTCCTTTAAAAATTCTCAAAATAAAAGTCCCATATCTGCTACTTCTGAGAACTAAAGTGAGTGTTTACAATGTAACATTAAGAAAATACCGCATCTTGTGCTGAAAATTTGCGCTGTAGCTCTTCGGCTGCAGCATAACGGTGAGCGGGGACCATTTCGATAAACATTGCGTAACACTTTCACCTGCTATACATGTTATTTTACTCTGTATGAACCTTTTTTTATAGTGTTCGACCGAAACAGGTTTTACAGCCGAAACCGAAACCGAACTTTCGGTCTTGGTCTCAGCTTCGGCTGAAGCCGAAACTTACTGAAACATATTTAAAATTTCTCTTCTATACTGAAATTTAGTGTATTTTTACACAATTATTTACACAAACACACAGATAGTTAAAGGGTAATAATAAACACTAATTAAAATATGTAACAAATATGTCATATATATGTATTTGTATGTAAAAACATGTTAAAATTATGACTTACTCGAAAATTTACTCGTTTTTTTTTAAGTTTACTTATGGAAGTAAACTTATAAGAAACAACTTTCACTTAGACACACATACAACACAAACACACACACAGAGTTTTGGCGCGGCCGAAAGTTTGGGCAAATTTTTGGCCGAAACCGAAACTAAGGCCAAAAGTAGAATTTCTAGCCGAAACCGAAACCGAAAGTTCGGTCGGACACTACTTTTTTATAAGTGTAACAATGTATGCTGAATAAATTATTATTTATTTATTAAATTACAGATACATTGAGTTGACAGAGGATGATAGTGTGCTGACAATTGTAAAGGCATACAGGCAGAACGGTAGATACAACATCCTGATTTTGGACTGGTCAAATCTAGCTTTTGGTTCTTATGTACTCGTGGCCCTGGATCTGAAGCCTGTTAGTAAGCATAACAACATGTATTATTCTATTACCAATTTTGTGTTTAGAGAGTAATATATTTTGATCGATGTTTACCATCTTAGTTGTATTTAGTATTAACATTGGAAATAAGCATACGGTCAGCTCGATGGTAAACGGTTACTGAAATCTACAGGGGTTTGCAATACTCATTACCAGAGGGAGACTTTGTACAAAAGTCGATTGCTTGAGTACCTCTGTCCCATTCGTGTTTCAACCGTGAAGTAGTTGTGTTTGCATGGCTGTGTTTCGGTTTGAAGGGTGGGATATGGCGTAAATTTACAGGGTATAGAGGAATAATATCTGAGTCCTCAGGAATGGCAACACATAGAGGGTATCATGGGCGAAACAGTATACTCTATTATGTCCATGGTATTGTAAAAGAGAATTTAAAAATATTGTCGCGAGCAATAATAAGCTGATCTTCGTAATAAGTAAAAAGATAATATCGTTTTCAGGCAGCTGTTGAAATAAGTAATGCTTTGGTGAAGCTCCTGAAGGAAGGGCTCAATGTAAAAGGGCTACATTTCGTAGGACATTCACTGGGCGTACATCTGTTGGGGGCGGTCGCTAGGAATTTATCCACGAGAGGATACGTCGTGCCAAGGTCAGTCTTTACAAATTCTGTCAAAGCAAATTGGAATATAAAACTGAAGAATTTAAGTTGAAAATTGTAGAATATTCGGCATAAAAATCTAACGAATTAGAGCAACGACAGATATTGTGATGTTTTTAAAGTAAAAAATGAGGAATTTGAATTCCAAGAGTTATTTTTTAATTGGGAAGTAGAAAAAGAAATAAAAGGTAAGAAAGGTACAGCTTTTATTATATTGCTCAATAAGCTAACATAGTAAAAAATTCGTTACAGACTTACAGGCTTGGACGCAGCTTACCCTGGCTTCTACCCACCGATCCTGTCAACTCCAGCGTCACCATCAGACGCATCCTTCGTAGATATGGTGCATACAGATGGCGGCGGGTATGGGGCACCGCAATCCTGTGGCCATGTGGATTTCTGGCCTAATGGCGGTACAGCTAAGCAACCTGGCTGTTTGCCCGCTACCTTACTTTTGACTTCCGAGGGTATGTAGATACGGGGTTATAGCGAAGTTATTTTAGCCAAATTAATGTGAGAAATAACATCAAGCTTGATAGTCTGCGGTTCTATTTTTAAAAAAATGACGTTCATACATCATCATTGTCATATGATGTTATTTTTTTTTTTTTTTTTTATACAACTTAGAATGGCAAACAAGCTAAAAGGCCCACCTGATGGAAAGTGGTAACCGTCGCCTATAGACATGAGCAGCACCATGAACATAACAGAGCACACCGTTTCGCTCATGATACCCCCTGCGTTGCCATTCCTGAGGACTCAGATGTTATTCCTCTGTACCCTGTAAATTCACGCCATATCCCACCCTTCAAACCGAAACACAGCTATGTAAACACAACTGCTTCACGGTTGAAACACGAATGGGACAGAGGTACCCATGCAATTATTATAACTGTTATTAATTATGATAACTGTCCAGTGCTGAATGTTGGCCTCTCTCATAAGAGGGATTATACAAACAGTTGCCACGCATGGCATGGTATAATGTTTTGAGAGGGACGCTGCTGCCCATCCTTTGACCATTCATTTTACCAGGGGGAAACTTTGTACAAAAGTCGATTGCTTGGGTACCTCTGTCCCATTCGTGTTTCTACCGTGAAGCAGTTGTGTTTGCATGGCTGTGTTTCAGTTTGAAAGGTGGGATATGGCGTGAATTTACAGGGTACAGAGGAATAACACCTGAGTCCTCAGGAATGGCAACGCATAGGGGGGTATCATGGGCGAGACGGTGTACTCAGATGTGTCCATGGTACTGCTCATGTCTATGGGCGACGGTTGCCACTTTCCATCCACTGAGGACTCAGGTGTTATTACTCTGTACCCTGTAAATTCACTGCCATATCCCATTCTTCAAACTGAAGCACAGCCATGCAAACACAACTGCTTCACGCTAGAAACATAAATGGGACAGAGGTGGCCAAGCAAACAACTTTTGTACAAAGTCTCCTATTGGTGAAACTTCCTACAAAATATGGTTATTTGCAGATTTGTGTAGCCACTGGTGGTCGTGGGAGTTTTGGTCTGAAGCAGTGGCTGGCGAGCAGTTTTTGGGGCGCAAATGTCAGTCTTACGATAGCTTCTTACGCGGACAATGCACTAACACACAGCTGGCTACATTGGGACCCAGTATAGATGTCAGGTAATTATTTCTTATCATCATCATATCAGCCGTTATTTGTCCACTGCTGGGCATAGGCCTCCCCATAGACCGCTATAAGGAACGGTCCTGAGCCACTTGCATCCACTCATTCTCAGTAATACATTTGAGATCGTCACTCCATCTAGCACCATGATTGTGTACCAGATTTCATTCTTTTTTTTTATACTACTTAGAATGGCAAACAAGCTGACGGCCCACCTGATGGAAAGTGGTAACCGTCGCCTATAGACATGAGCAGTACCATGGACATAACAGAGTATACTGTTTCGCCCATGATACCCCCCATGCGTTGCCATTCCTGAGAACTCAGGTGTTATTCCTCTGTACCCAGTAAATTCTAATCCGTTTAGTAGTTTTTGGGTGAAAAAGTAACAAATATACATTCATCCATCGTAACAAACTTTCGCATTTATTATAATAATAGAATTATGCACATAAAGATTCAGTCTATCGCCTACGAATACTAATGTAATACGTTATTTTGTTATTGAAATATTTATGTTTTATTTTCAGATTACGTGGAAATTTTTATCTTAGGACCGCAGCACAGAGACCGTACTCTTTGGGTGTGAGAGGGATAGACTGATATTAGCATACTTACGTAGTTATAACTTCTTACCATATGGAGGGGAAAGGGATTGTTAGTAACGGAGACTGAGAATCCCATTGCTAGCAATATACCTAACCAGGTCGACCTCCACGCGGTTCCCCCTGGAAACTATCATGGTTAATTTCTGATGAATTCATCATGATGGGCTAACTGGCTTGTTTTCATTTTCATCGATCACCCTTCACAGGTCCTGTCACAGGCCTCCAGGTCACAGGCCCTGCCAGCGTATACCATTAGCGCAGGCGGGGTTACCATTCTATTTTCACCCATCAAAAATTTGTTACCATAATATGTGTGATCGTTAATAATAAATTATTAGTTGAATATAATTTTTTAGTATTTTTATATTAATCTAATGTGAAATAAAAATAACCACAGATTATATTTTATTGCAAAACAATCAAAATTGAATCACAATATAACGATAGAATACGTAAAAAAGTTCAGAAATTTATTGCTCACTGTTGAACATAAGTTTCGCCCATAGATTGCCATAAGGATCGCTGTTGATCATATGATACTCACGCCATCTAGTGCAACTTTAGTGTACTTTGAGTACGTTCTATTGATGACTTGAGGGATAGGTGAGGTGATTGCTTGAAATAATCAATTTTGGAATGTATCTCCTTTTATTCTTCCTTCATTGGTTGTTAGATCAATACCCTGGTAGTTTTCTGTCACTGTTTATATAAATTATTTCAGTAATTTCAATATAAGAATATAAACAGACACACAGATTCGTATTAGTTTAATAATATCATGATTTAATATCGTCTATGGTATCAGGCAACACTTTTCCCTTTGTCTCTGGTAGTAGAAGCACGATCAATCCCGCGCAAATCGACGATATGCCAAAAATGACAGTTGGCAGCCATGGAGTAGTAATAGACAAGTTGGAGACGAAAGGCGCGAACATAGAGCCAATTCTCATGAATGTAGAACAGGCGCCCATACCCATATTTCTCACAACTGTTGGGAATAATTCTGTAGTGTAAACGTACAAGGTCGTCGCTGCTGCGCCGGCGCAACTGACCCCTAAAGAACCCAAAAGTAGTGTCAGCCAGTATATCTTGGGCACAAACCCTAGAGCGATGATGAATGCTCCTCCGAGAATGAAAACGCTCGTCATTGTTTTCTTCCTACCGAGTATCTTTATAAGCCATATTGACATTAAATTTGATGGTATCTGCAATGGAAATTTAGATTTGAATTCTTTTGATGTAAAATCATTGACAAATATAATCCATATCCGATATTTTGTTATTGATGTCGGGTATCAAGGTCAATGAAAATTGTGGCTGCTTCATATTGATAAAGCAAAGATAAAGTTTGGGGAACACCAACAAAAAGATATGAAGATAAAAGAGGAAGGTTGTGATAAAATTTTAAGAGAAAGGTCATATATATATTGATATTTATTTAAGTTCAGAAGGAGATTGTACAAATTCGAATAGGTATCTCTCTTTTATTACTCTTACTGCTAAGTTTTTCTTTCCTTGCTATGTTCAGTTTATAACAATTAACTATTGGGTACGGAAGTATAGTCCTCAGGAGTGCCAACGTAGAAGTATATATTAAATAATAATCTGTCATATCCTTGATGCAGTTCAGGTTTACAGAAGAAGGTTACCATTTTCCATCAAGTAGAAAGTTAACTTGTTTGTCATTTTGAATTACATTAAAAACATTATCTGGAACACCATTGTAAAGGTTGACTGGAAGAGATCGCTGTTTGCGGTACGGCATTTTTTTAGTATGCTCTTTTCCCTTGTAATTTTTGTTTTTGCTAAGTTTATTCAGCAAAAAAGGTCGATGCAATAACTCTTTAAAGGAAAGAAGAACAATGAACTTTTATTTAATTTACCTGGATCGAAGCGGATACAGCTATGCTAACAAAAGTATCCGAGCTGGTCTGACTGATGTACTGATTAAACCCGTAGTACATGGTTCCGGTGATCAGCCACATGGCACAACAGCAGACGGATCTGATCCTCAATGTGCTTTGGAACAGATCTGAATAGTTTAGTTTGGATTCGTCGGTTTTTGTGAGCCTGTCTTGGGAGAGGTTTGCGAGGACTTCTCCTATTTTCTCTGTTGGGAGATTGTTCCTGAAAATTTTACATGAATTTATTTACACTAATTTATCGTCAAAAATGTGTTTTTCTGATCGGAACTAAAAGAAAAACAATATTTTTCATTATGAAGGCTACAATGTAAAATTTTTTCGGTGTAAAAAATAAGTTACAGTAAAGTATACTTTTTGAAAACAATTTTAACTCTTTATTTCTCCCTTTACATGATCTCAATTACTCTAGAATGTGTTTCGTAAATGGTAATGATTTTTTTTTATTATAAACCAGCTGTATCTTTTTATTTTACATTTGTGTCGGTTATAACTTTTCATCGGTTATAACTTGAAAATTATTATCTCTTCAAATAGACTTCTTTACGATCCTGGTGGATGTGCTTATATACCGGCGCATCCTCCCAGTGGTAGGGTGAGCACGCCATCCACCCTATCTTGAGAGAGGAGACCTGCTCTTACCATCAGGGGGCGGGTCGCTGCCGTCGGAGATGTGGTGAGTGCGAAAGCGAACCCATGTCTCCGACATATGGCACCTCGAGGGTATATCGTCTGGTTTTTGGTGGGTACACCCCCACCTTACGGGGGGATTCCCACAGTACCCATTCACCTCCCACAAAATGTATTGGTCTGCATAAAGCATTTTCTAGACGTTAAAAAAAAAATACTTCTTTACTAGCATTTTTAAACCGTTATTTTTTATTATTCTACTCTCGGGTTCGGAATATTATTATAATACTGAGAAGAATTTGCAAGAAACTCAACAATTACTCTTTTAAATAAATGCTAACATTATGTGGAGTTATTTAAATGTATTATTTTTTATCTAAAATTACAATATTGCGAATCATGCGATAACATCGAGATCTGTTTGTTGTTAAAATTCAAATTTATCATTGTTAAATAATATGTTATGTAATGTAATGTAATGTTAAATAATTCAGTATTACATAACACTCGTATTATTGTGCAACGAGTGTAATATGTCCTTATAGTTTTTATCTTTATCCACAGAGTAAATATAATTTCAACATTTGTATATTAAATATTGTAGTATGCAATGCGTATGTTATTTTTTACTTCCGCATTCGTGTTAAAATTTGAGTCGGAGAGAATGCTTTTATTTTTTGCATTTATCTATATTTTTTTTCTAGTGGATAATTAAATGGTAACGTTTTCTCCTCACTATCTCGATCGTTCGCCTTGCATAATCCTTGTTTTAAAATTACTATTTTTCTATTTCATTGTTTTGTATGTTTCCTATTATAAATACCTTATATATTATATGTTTATATATATAAACAAAGCAATAGTAAAAGTGACAAAACTACGTGTTCCAAAAGTAAGATAACATAAGTATTTTAATATATATTTGATATTTTGTGCAATATAGGTTTTAGTATTTTATGTAAGTAAAAATTTTTAATTCACTCTTGCACCACCTACCCACTTCTATCGGTTCTCCTTTAACCATAGGTTGTCTGTACGACACTGCCATAACTATAAGACCGCCTTTTGTAACTTTATATATATTTAAATTTAATTGTAATAGGCACAAATAAAGACTTCTTTCCTTTTTCATAATTAGTATATTTGAGAAATAATTCTAGTAAGAAGCAATTTACAGTGGTACCCTGCACTTTGTTTATGTTTTGTTAAGAGAGGGACTGGCTGAAAACCAGCGCTGTGCAGCTGTTCACATTGCGCTGGGACACTCACAGCATCAGCTGAACCCGTTCCTTTTGCCGAGTATGGGACACTTTTTGTATATGTTATTTATATTTTATATTGTAATTGTATGTTTACTGGCAATAGATGTTTCTATTCTATTCTATATTTTTATGATTTTGGTGCAATAAAGAGTTAAATAAATAAATAAATAAATAATTATTTACCTCGAACGACTACAGGCCTACAATCAATAGTGGACAAACTTACATAATTGCAGCTTGTGTCACTATCTCCGTCGCTTCTTTCACTTTTCCAACACTTATCAGCCATCTCGGGGACTCGCTTAACAGGAAGAAATACCCAAGATATATAACTTGTGGCACAGCTATGGATAAAGAGAAGGTGTCCCAAGATCTGAAATAGTACGCGAACAGGGGCGTTGTCATGTGTCCAAGTATGAATGGAATTTGGAATAAGCAACCGAACAATTCCCTATATCTCGGTCCAATGGTTTCCATAATGATGACGAAGGATATAACCATGGTGCCAGCAGTTCCGAAGCCCATGAAGAAGCGGAGGATGGTGAACGTTGTGTAGTTTGGTGAGTAGGGAATGCCGAATGAGAATGCAATGAGGATCACTATTGACATCAGAAATGTGTTTTTCCGGCCGTATCTGAAAAGAAAAAAAAATAAAATAAATCGCGAAATAAGCCTATGGGAAATACTTATTTAAAATAATGTAATAAAAAATCTGCCTACCCTAATGGAAGACAGGCGTTTGTATGTATATATGTATGTATGTAAAATAGGTTAAGTTACTTGCATTCTTAAAACTAAATTACTCAGTATGACCCTTTAACCCGTTTTAAAAAATATATAATATTTCTCTTATGTTTTTAAGACGGATAGAATAAAAGAATAATCTTAATTAACTTTTATATTTGTTTAATTATATAATAAACTGATTAAAAATTAAAACTGAGAGAGAATATTAAAAGAAATTTAACACTATACATAATTTAAAAGTACAAATATAAAACTATCGTTTTCACTTTAGGATTACTACCATACACTTTTTTACTAACCTGGAACAGCGCAAAACGTGTTGGCATTGAATATTATATCTACTGATAACATATGCAACGGTGGGTACACACACATTGATGTCTTGTCTCGTAAAATACCACTTGTTTAGGAATGCATTAATATTCATATATAAAAATAAATGAAACCTTCAAATTGACTAGAGGGACTTGTACAAAACCCCCTGGACTTATGTTCAGCAGTGTACATGTAAAAATTGGTATGATGTTTTTTTTTTATACAACTTAGAATGGCAAACAAGCTGACGGCCCACCTGATGGAAAGTGGTAACCGTCGCCTATGAGCGTTACCATGGACATGACAGAGTATACTGTTTCACCCACGATACCCCCCATGCGTTACCATTCCTGAGGACTCAGGTGTTATTCCTCTGTACCCTGTAAATTAACTGCCATATCCCACCCTTCGAACCGAAACACAGCCATGCAAACACAACTGCTTCACGGTAGAAACACGAATGGGACAGAGGTGCTCAAGCAAACGATTTTTGTACAAAGTCTCCCTCTGGTGGAGGGAGACAAACTGTCTTCTGCGTGGGCATTTCTGTCCCATTTGTGTATCTGCCTCTAAAAAACTGTACTTGTATGGCTATGGTATTATTTATTAAGCTACCTAAGAAGTTAAAGTTGAAAGATTTAAATATCTTAGGAGAAAATTAAAGTCATTACTGATGGAGAGGTGTCTGTACTCCCTTTACGAATTCAAACTAACAGTAACTAAAGGTTATATATAAAAGAAAATAACAACTAATAAACGTGTAATAAATATCATATCGTAACTCTGTAACATATATATATATATATATATATATACGAATAAAGATGTTTTAATTGATTGATTGATAATACAACATGCAGGGGGGAAAGGGGTTGTTAGCAATTGAATTTGACAGCCCCATTGCTAGCAATATGCCTTATTAGGTCGACCTCCACGTGGTTCCCCCTGGAAACCATCAAACAATTCTTGTTGAATTCATCACGATGGGCTAATTGATCTACTTCATCCTCATCTATCATTCTTCACTGGTGCCCCGCATGTGTATACCGATAGCGCGGGTAGGGTTACCATTCCATTATCACCGATTAAAAAAAAATACAACATGCAAATTGAAATATTATAGGAAATAACGTTTCAAAATAAAATTACTATCAATATTGGAAACATTTATAGATCCTTAGTATTGCGTTTTGATAATTCTTGTTAAATTTATAACACATACTACAATTAAAATATTTAAGTTTAAATTTAAAGGATCGTATGACATGGTTATGTTATATATAAAAGGATAGCAGGCATTATATGGAGAAGGTGGACGCAAGATCGCATTTTGTGGCAAGCTTTAGGGGAAGCTTATGCTGGGAAACTACAATGTTCGCGACAATCGTGTTTAAAGGACAAGTCTAATCTCATTTTCTTTCACTGTAGTTACTCTTTTCCTTCCTTATTTCATTTCTTTATTTCGTTTTACTAAATTCGTCATATATCTTAGTGTGTGCTTTGTATATATGTATATGTAGTATATATTATTTGTTATAATAAGTAGTCTAATAAAAAAAAAATATTTGATGTTTTTGTGCATTATACGTAAAAAATATTAATTCAATCTTGAGTCACATGTCCACTTCTATATGTTCTCCTTTAACCAAAGGTTGTCTGTAAGAGATTGCCCTAGCGATAAGACCGCCTTTTGTACCTTTATATGTATATTTTGATCTGTACTCCATGCTACTGTATAGCAGTTGCACTGTTTATATGTCATTGTTTATTTTTATGTTTTTGGTCCAATAAATAAATGGCGTTTAAATAAAAAAAAAAATATAGCATTTAAGTAAAATTAATTTAATGTTGGCCTTATTCAATCTATATTAGCTGAACCTAAACCAGAAATTTTTGAACATCTTTGTAAATTATTGATGCCCATTAATTCTTCTCTCTCCGTGTCTAGGGAAAGTAGATAAAGCTTTATTTGAGAAATCAGGGTACGATAGGGCTGACATACCTGAAGAAGGTAAAAGCCCTTAAAATAATAATAAAAAAAATATATAAAAGTAAGTAATGTGGATAATGTAAGATTGTTAAATAAAGGCTAATTAATTTATTATTATAATGACACATGCTATCAGGTGCTGTTTCGTGTTTGCGGTTTGTCTGTGAATATTTTTCCTTAAAGAATATCAGGCTTTTAAGTCCGTATTGTCGACATTCACGAGTTTAAGGAGCTAGCACTTGCTTAACAGGAAAATAATTCTCGAAACAGAAATTGCATGTGTTTAAGATTTTATTAGTTTATGGTCAGGATTGTTCTCGGATGGAGTAATTCATCATATCGGCCCTTAACCGTCTACTGCTGGACATAAGCCTCCCCCTTGAGGGTGTGGCGTCTGTAAATTAATATTGTAAATATTCATCTCATAGCCATTTATCAACATCATTACTTTCTTCTCCATCAAGTAGGTTAATTTAATTGTACATAGATGTTTCACCTCTTTCTATCTTTCGCACTGGACATACAGACATGACAGCGACATTTACTTCTCACATTCATTTCTGCTGTCATTCTCTCATTATATAAAAATCAATAATATAATCAAGTTGGTTGTTACTTATTTCCTCCAAACAACTACATTGGTGACCTACCGACCGCAACACGGATAAAAAAAAATGGAACAACAGACTAGCGGAACCGACACATACCGAGTAGGCGTCAAGATTCCACCATTCTGGCCTGAAGAACCGGAGGTATGGTTTGCGCAAATTGAAGGTCAATTTATTTTGTCAAACATTACGGCCGACAATACAAAATTTTATTACGTGATTAGTCAACTTGATCATCAGTATGCAGCCGAGGTGAAAGACATTATCGTATCGCCACCATCTTCAGACAAATATGATAAATTGAAATCGGAACTTATTAAGCGCCTTACCACATCTAAGGAACGTAGAATTAAGCAGTTGCTGATGCATGAAGAGCTCGGTGATCGGAAGCCTTCACAATTCTTGCGTCACCTGCAGAGTCTCGCCGGTCAAGCTGTAAGTGAAGATCTGATGCGTACTATTTGGTCGAGTCGTCTGCCGGCCAACCTTCAAGCTATTGTCGCCATGCACAAGGACAGCCCGCTCGAAACCATTGCAGACCTCGTGGATCACGTGCACGACATTGCACCACCCACCATTGCTCAGGTAACATCAACAGTGCCGGAATCTGCCTTCAATACTATGTGCCGTAGAGTAGAGGAGTTAACAAACCAAGTAGAGACGCTGATTTTACAACAACAGGAGCAGTCTCGGTCAAGATCGAGAGACCGACCGAACTATCGACGTACTAATTCACGATCCCGCTCGCGATCTACAACACGTAACAACAGTGTCTGCTGGTATCATCGGAAGTTCGGGGCTACAGCCAAACGGTGTACGACTCCATGCACGTTCAAGTCGGAAAACTGCATAGGCAGCCAATAGTGGCGGCAAATGACTGCCTAGTGTGTAATGGCCGCCTCTTCGTCACTAATAGAAAAACGAAGACGCAGTTCCTGGTAGACACAGGATCTGATTTATGCGTATTCCCAAAATCAGCGACCAGAGGACAGCGACCTAAAACCAGGTACGAGTTATACGCAGCTAATAATTCCGTTATAGCTACATATGGCTACACCCAACTTCACCTCGATTTTGGCCTAAGAAGGAACTTCAGCTGGAGATTCATCGTGGCCGACGTTACCAAGCCGATAATAGGGGTTGATTTTATAAGTCATTATAATTTATTAATCGACTGCCGTAACCATCGACTTATAGACGGACTCACCACTCTCTCTGTGTCAGTTCCTCACTGTCACGATACCTCACTAGAGACAGTTGCCATTAAAGCAGTTGTGGGAGACTCGCCATTTCACGACTTGCTGCGTAGGTATCCAGAAATCACTAGACCAGCTGGTGCACCAGTCGAACCGAAGCATAACACGCGTCATCACATCCGAACCACACCCGGACCTCCAGTCGCATCTCAGCCTCGCCGACTAGCACCTGACCGATTGCTCATTGCTAAAAAGGAATTTGAGGACATGTTACAGAATGGGACCGCTCGTCGATCGGAGAGTTCCTGGTCTTCACCACTTCATCTCGCCCGTAAAAAGGATGATGGTTGGCGTCCCTGCGGAGACTACCGAGCACTCAACGCAAGAACGATTCCAGACAGATATCCCATCAGACACCTCCAGGACTTCAGCTATCAAATATCAGGTTCAAAAATACTGTCAAAAATTGATTTAATCAAGGCCTACAATCAAATTCCCGTTCACAAAGCCGATATTCCGAAAACTGCTATTACCACACCGTTTGGGTTGTTTGAATTTCCTTATATGACCTTTGGGTTACGAAACGCAGCCCAAACTTTTCAACGATTTATCGACGAAGTACTGCAAGGACTTGATTTTGTTTTCGGTTATCTCGATGACATCCTCATCTTCTCCAAGAATCAGGAAGAGCATCTTAACCACCTTAAGATCCTGTTCGAGAGGTTCAAAGATTACGGCGTACTAATTAACACCGCAAAGTGTGTCTGGGGCGTTAGTGAGCTGACATTCTTAGGGTACCACGTTTCTGTAGACGGTACTCGTCCCCTCCAAGAGAAGGTGACAGCAATACAGAATTACCCTGTGCCCAAAACTGCCAAAGAGTTAAGGAGATTCTTGGGAATGCTGAATTACTATCGGCGATTTATTCCTAATGCAGCACAAATTCAAGATCCCCTCAATACCCAACTCACAGGAAACATCAAGGGTTCAGCTCCTATTAATATCACAAAGGAATTTGAAACAGCATTTAACCAATGCAAATCTAGTCTATCTCAGGCAACCCTTTTGTCACATCCAGATATTCATGCCGAACTTGCTTTATTCACTGATGCATCCGATGAAGCTATTGGCGCAGTTCTCCAGCAAAGGCGTAATAACGAATGGTCACCGTTAGGATTCTTCTCGCGAAAGCTGTCATCATCGCAAAAGAAGTACAGCCCTTATGATCGAGAACTTCTCGCCATATATGAAGGGATAAAATACTTCAGATTCATGTTGGAAGCCAGAATCTTCATAGTATTCACCGATCATAAGCCTATCACGTATGCATTTAAAACCAACGAGACAAATGTTCGCCACGTCAATTTCGATATTTAGACTTTATTTCCCAGTTCACAACAGATTTACGTCACATTGCTGGTAACGACAACATTGTAGCTGATGCATTGTCTCGCATTGAGGACATCACATCGGACATTAATTACGAAGATCTTGCACATGATCAGGCTCAAGATCCTGAACTACAAGATCTCCTCAAAACAGGTTCAGCACTTGTCTTGGAAAAGGTTGACGGAAATATATATTGCGACCTTTCCACGGAATATCCACGACCATACTTGACACCATCATTTCGACGACTGGCGTTCGAAAAGTTGCATAATCTCAGTCATCCTGGAGCAGCAGCATCGGCCAAACTAATTTCTCATAGATATGTATGGCCTGGTATACAACGTGACTGCAGAACGTGGGCTCAACAATGCACAGATTGCCAACGCAACAAAGTCACCCGTCATTCATTGTCACCTTTCACCACATTTCCCATTCCATCTGAACGCTTTTCTCATGTCCATCTCGACATAATTGGTCCTCTGCCACATTCATCTGGTTACAGGTACTGCCTCACCGTCATCGATAGGTTCACTCGTTGGCCTGAAGCTTACCCACTGGTGGACATCACGGCCGAATCCTGTGCGAGCGCCTTCATGTCTGGCTGGGTGGCCCGCTTTGGTTGTCCTCACTCCATAACTACAGATCGGGGTCAGCAGTTCCAGTCCCGCCTCTTCCAGAGTATCTCACAACTAATAGGTGCCAAACACAATCCCACCACTGCTTACCATCCACAGTGCAATGGCATGGTGGAGAGACTGCACCGGCAACTCAAAGCAGCTATCATGTGCCACAATAACCCGCAGTGGACTGAAGTATTGCCGCTGGTTTTATTGGGTATCAGGAGTGCCTGGAAGGAAGACCTGAAGACCTCAGCAGCAGAGCTTGTCTTCGGCGAGACACTTCGATTGCCTGGCCAGTTCTTCACTCCAGCTGCTAACACCATATACGATCCCACAGACTTCGTTGCTCGCCTACGTCGACATATGGCCAAGTTGACACCAACACCTGCATCGTGTCACAGTAAGCCGACATTTTACTTACCCAAAGATCTCGCCAATGCAGAATATGTTTTCTTACGCCGAGGTCATCTCAAGAAAGCCTTTGAATCACCCTACACGGGGCCACATAAGGTTCTAGAAAGAGAATCAAAAACATTCAAGATCGACGTTCAAGGAAAAGAGCTTACCGTCTCATTAGATCGCTTGAAACCGGCGTATATGGCATGGGACAACAATAACACCAGCCCAGAAGCATCCACATCACCGCTACTCCCGCACACTTCAGTAGAGAGGCCACCTGAAAAAAACACACGCAGCGGAAGAACTGTTCGGTTCCCGAACTACTATCGCCCGTGAAACGGTCTCGGCAGGGGAGTGTTGTGGCGTCTGTAAATTAATATTGTAAATATTCATCTCATAGCCATTTATCAACATCATTACTTTCTTCTCCATCAAGTAGGTTAATTTAATTGTACATAGATGTTTCACCTCTTTCTATCTTTCGCACTGGACATACAGACATGACAGCGACATTTACTTCTCACATTCATTTCTGCTGTCATTCTCTCATTATATAAAAATCAATAATATAATCAAGTTGGTTGTTACTTATTTCCTCCAAACAACTACAAGGGTTTTGCCAGTAGTTGCCACGCTTGGCAGGCGGATTGACAACCGCAGTTAGGCTTTAGAGACGTTTTAAAAAAGACGCTGCTGCCCATCCCTCGCCGTGCCATAGTCGACTTTTACGACACCCACGGGAAGGGAAGGGTCGGCCTATTCTATGCTAGATCACAGGGCTAATAGCCAGATGGAGTAATTAATAGAATTGAATTTCTGCTAAATTAGTCACGATGTGTCAACTGACCTGAATCCAGCTTTATCTATCATTCTTCACTATAGCTACAACGTCTTTCTTGACATTACCATTCTATTTTCATCCATATCGACACAATATCTTCTTGTCCTATCTAGTTAACTTCCTCGTGGTTAACTTTAGTAACCGTCATGGTTTGGACACTGGTACGATCATGGGGAATTTGTTACGCTCTGATTGACTTGATCTCACCCTCACCTATCATCCTTTACTGGTAGCCTGCTAGTATACCTTTACTGGTAGGCTGGTCACCCAAAAAGACTCCGAGTATAGCCCTCTCTGAGTAATCTGAAGCTTTTGCAAACAAGCAATCGTGCAGGACCATGTTTGGATGAAATCTTCTAAAAAATATAAATTAATATAAATAAGGACTCACCTATCAGACAGGAAACCAAATACAATGCTGCCAATCAATATTCCCAGCTGCAACATCATCTGCGTAAAGCTCGCCAGCCAGTTCCTCTCGCAAACTAAATCCCATTCTGATATAATCGTGTTAACAAACGGACTCGTGTCGTATGCATACTTCAAGCAGTTCTTGTAACACGTCGAATTTTTTACCTCAATTTTGGTATTGCCGTCGAATTCACTGCACCAGTACGTGTAGCTGGGTGTCAGGAATAGTATGGCCATTTGTACCCATCCAGATGACAGTTTGACCAGGAACACCGAGGAAAACACGATGAATTGCCATTTTCCAAAATGGCCGACGAGTTTTGCGAATTTGTCTTCTTTCTGGGTGGGTGCGGATTCTGTTGTTGACTTTATTGCAGTATTGTGAACCATTTTCAGTCGTTTCCTGTCTTTCTGTCTTCTTTTTCAATGATAAGCGTTTATAGTTAAGGTTTAAACGATTTCTTTTCCTTAACTTGTTCCATTAGTTTAAGGCTGGATAAAGTTTCACCTGTAGCTGTATATTTTTATCAAATTTATTATTAAACTGCATGTTTATTCAAGTAAAATTCTCATCGGATCATCTCTTCACCATTAGAAGTATCTGAAACAAAAAGTAATAAATAATCACCAAAGGGAGACTTTGTACAAAAGTCGTTTGCCTGGGCACCTCTGTCCCATTCATGTTTTTTATGGGTAAAAATGGTATGGTAACCTCGCCTGCGCTAACAGGATACGCTGGCGGAGCAGCAGTGAAGGGTGATAGATGAGAATTAAAAAAAGGCCAGTTAGCCCATCATGATGAATTCATCAGGAATTAACCATGATAGTTTCCGGGGAGAAACGCGAGGAGGTCGACTTGTTTGGGTATATTGTTAGCAATATGATTCTCAGTCTCCATTACTAACAATCCCTTTATCCCCGTCCCATTCGTGTTCCTACCGTGAAGCAGTTGTGTTTGCATGGCTGTGTTTCGGTTTGAAGGGTGGGATATGGCAGTGAATTTAAAGGGTACAGAGGAATAACACCCGAGACCTCAAGAATGGCAACGCATGAGGGGTATCATGGGCGAAACAATATACTCTGTTATGTCCATGGTAATGCTCATATCTATAGGTGACGGTTACCACTTTCCATCAGGTGGGCTGTCAGCTTGTTTGCCATTCTAAGTTGCATAAAAAAATATTAATATCGCAATCGACTAATGTATTTTCAATTCATCTCTAAAAGACTTTAGAGGTCTTGGGTTCGAATCGGATCGGTACAAGCTTTTCTTGCTAGCTGTTGGTAAATATTTTAGTGAGAGAGCAGCCTGTTTTTAACACGCACAGACGCGAGGTGGCTCGTCAATGGGGCAGGGATTCTAGAAGGTACATGAGGCAGGCAGGGCAGCTGCTGCCCATTATTGACTTTTTTTATACAACTTAGAATGGCAAGCAAGCTGACGGCCCACCTGATGGAAAGTGGTAACCGTAGCCTATAGAAATAAACAGTACCATGGACATAACAGAGTATACTGTTTCGCCCATGATACCCCCCATGCGTGGCCATTCCTGAGGACTCAGGTGTTATTCTTCTGTACCCCGTAAATTCACGCCATATCCCACCCGTCAAACCGAAACACAGCCATGCAAACAACTGCTTCACGGTTGAAACACGAATGGGACAGAGGTACCCAAGCAATCGACTTTTGTACAAAGTCTCCCTCTGTCTAAGAGTCTAAGAGGTGGACGCTCTATGTATGTTTACATAAAACATAATGGATTATATATTACAACATAAGGTAATATTTAAAAACTCTTTAGGTTACCTTGACCAAATTTACATATAGTATATATGCAATTTATAAATTACAAAACTAAACATATATTTTTATTTATCCTTCCTAAGGTTATAAATGTGAAAGTGACCTAGGGGGAGAAGGGATTGTTAGCAATGGGGATTACCAATCCCATTGCTACCAATAAACTTTCTCAGGTCGGCCTCCTCGCGGTTCCCCCTGGAAACCATCTTGATTGGTTTAATGCTGAATTCGTCATGATGGGCTAACTGACCTGCTTTCATCCTCATCAGTCATCTATCACTGGTGCCCCGCCAGTGTATACCGATAGCGCAAGCGGGGTTACCAAACCATTATCACCTATTTAAAAAAAATGTGAAAGTAAGTTTGTTTGTTACTTCTTAGCGTCTTAATGGCTTAACCGATTATTATAAAATTTGATATACAAGTACAGAGAACGTACGCGGACGTAGTTATTATTAAAGGCTAACCATATAAATATGTACGTAGTTTAATTAGTTCTTCGTAAAAGAAATAAAATAATTAAGATTCGATTAAAAAAACATCACCAAAATCACACCAGCTGGGGGGAAAGGGATTGTTAGTAATGGGGTCTAACAACCTCCTTTCTAGTAATGTACCTTATTAGGTCGACCTCCACGCGGTTCTCCCTGGAAACCATCGTGAACAATTCTTGTTGAATTCGTCACGATGGGCTAACTGACCTACTTCATCCTCACCTATCATCTCTCACTGGTATATATATATATATATATATATATATATATATATATATATATATATATATATATATATATATATATATATATATATATATATATATATATATATATATATATATATATATATATATATATATATAAATATTTTTTAATTTGTGATAATGTAATGGTAACCCCGCCTGCGCTATCAGTATACACTGGCCGAGCACCAGTGGGGGATGAAGGAGAATAGGTAGATATAGGGAGTTAGGTAAGGAAGAAATAATTGGATCATAGTGAAAAATTAATAAAGAATTAACCACGATGGTTTCCAGGGGGAATCGCGTAAAGGTCGACCTGATAAGGTATATTGATAACAATGGGGCTGTTAGGTCTGAAATACTTGTAATAGTTTTAGTCCCTTTACACTAATATTATAAACTCAAAAACGATTTAATCGATTCAAAAATTCTTTCATTTATAAAAAAACTATATTTATGTTATTATGTTATTGGTTAATACCAATAACATAAGCTATATTTTCATAAAGTACAGTATTTTTATAAAAAAATGTGGTTCCAAGGAATACTGATATTCTCATTAGCTATCTCTCTAATTTGTCTTGATGTTTACTAACTGTGATTCACCTTGATCTATTTAATATATTTATATATTATTTACATTATATATGTATGTTTATGTAATTTAGACTTAATATTATATAAATGAATATGCATGCTGAAGTGGCGAAGGGCTGGACACATAGCTCGAAGAACCTGAAATGCATTACAGAGAGTCAATGAATGCAGGTTGCTCGGGTTCGTTCTTTATGGCAGTCTATGGGGGAGGCTTATGTCCAACAGTGGACGGATAATGGCTGAAATTATGACGATGATGATATAAATGATATTTAGAATATTATGCATTTTATTAGTTTTCTTTTTTGTATTTACTGTGTCTAGCTGGCGCCATCTACCTTTATTTATTTATTTATTTACTATTTATACCAGGTTGTCTGTAAGAGATTGCTTTTAGCGATAAGGCCGCCTCTTGTATATGCACATTCTGTATAAATACTCCTTGTATACATCTCTACTGTGCACAATAAAGAGTTTATTATTATTAGAAATATTACAAAATAGTACATTACTGCAGCGGCCAGCAACTGAGGCATTGAACGTGCAAATGTGGGCCGAGGCGTAGCCGAGGCACAAATACGTGAGTCCATCAATGCCTAGTTGTGGCCAAGGCTTGTATAGTACTTTTCTCAAACAATGCGCGGAAATCAAAAATAATTTTAATTTTTAAGTTCCATGACGAATAAAGAACAATAATAATTTTTCACGCACCATAATGTTCTTTTGTTTTTTTCAATAAACAGCTTTCTATTTGCAAGCTAGGTCACAAATTTAAATAAAACCTATTAGTTACCTCCTTGGTAGCCATGTTTCGAAGTAAAAGTTCATTCCATTTTTAAATTACAGGACAGATATGAGTTTACATAGTAATTTATCCGGCCGTAAAACACGACAGATATGGATTTTCATACAACTTTTGCCGGCCGCTGCCCGCATGTATCTAGCCAGTACGGCAATTGTGATTTATTTCGAAGAAGATTGTCAAAATAATGTTCACATTTCCAAGCATGTTTGAGAAAAGTATATTTTAAATAGTTTATTATCGTAATCTTAGAATTAAATGCTCGTTGTTTGCTCCACTTTTGAATTATTGATATACCTAGTTCAAGCTCTCGTAACATAATCTTACCATATAAATATATACATAAAACTTAAAAATAGATATTGTTGTGTCAGCCGTTAACTGTTGAACATAGCCTCCCCCATAAGTGGGGTTTGGGGTTATGCCAGTAGTTGCCACGCTTAGCAGGCGTATTGGTAACCGCGGTTTGGTTTTTCGTGATGTTTTAAGAGTGATCCCTTCAAAAATATATTAAATAAATAAAGTAAATTGTTTGGGTACATCTGTCCCATTCGTGTTTCAACCGTGAAGCAGTTGTGTTTGCATGGCTGTGTTTCGGTTTGAAAGGTGGGATATGGTGTGAATTTACTGGGTACAGAGGAATAACACCTGAGTTTTCAGGAATGGCCACGCATGGGGTGTATCATGTACGAAACAGTATACTCTGTTATGTCCATGGTACTGCTCATGTCTATAGGCGACGGTTACCACTTTCCATCAGGTGGGCCGTCAGCTTGCTTGCCATTCTAAGTTGCATTAAAAAAATTATACATTATACTAAACCGTCTTTCAAAAAAAACGTTCACGATCACTTTTTTATTTTATCCGAGCAGTAAGTGCTTTATATTATTCTCAATTTCGTGTATAATATAGTATATGTCATATATGTGTAAGTATATTTGTTATTTATATATGTTTATTCGTTTATATATGTAATTTTAGTATGTATGTATATCAATAATTAGTAGTACCGCATTCGAGTATTCTGACACTTGCCTATGGTTGACTGGGAGAGAATGCTTTTAGCATTAAGTCCGCCATGTACACATATTTGTACTAATGAATAAATAAATAAATAAAATAAAATATTAAGAGGAGACATCTTCGCGTTGTGAGATCTCGGCCTAACATAATACGTGCGACAGTATATTTGCAAATAAAAGATAAGGATCAATGAACTGTCTGAGTATCACTATCTTGTTTGGTTTATTTTTAATTCCTTGTTATAGTATTTTTAATGAGGCCCTTAATATTTTTTTTTTTAATTTTTATAATACATACTTTTTGAACTTTAAAAGCGACTCCTTTCTTTCCTGAGGGTGTCGTAAGAGACAACTAAGCGAACATCATCAAAGCCTAACTACGGTTGCCAATTTGTTTGCCAAACATGGCAACTACTGGCAACGGCCTCAAGAGGGAGTCATTTGTTCAGTAGCAGGACAATTAACGGTTGCTATCATCATTGTACTTAATTTTTTTTTAATGGGTGGTAATGGAATGGTAACCCCACTCGCGCTATCGGTATACACTAGCGAGGCACCAGTGAGGGATGATAGGTGAGGATGAAGCAGGTCCGTTAGCCCGTCGTGACGAATTCAACAAGAACTGTTCACGATGGTTTCCAGGGGGAAACACGTGGAGGTCGACCTAATAGGGCATATTGCTAGCAATGGGGCTGTCAAACTCCATTGCTAATAATCCCTTTCCCCTCCCGTACTCGTATTTTTCCATCGTTCGTATAAACATTTGTTGCTGTTCACAAATTATTCGTTTTTATTGTCCGACCTCGATCAAGCGAACGCGAGGTGAAAAGAAATAAACAATATTTGTAAATAAACCTCTGCAAATGGCGTCCGTGTGGGGACAAACCGGCCAGGGAATTTAAACATGGTCACAATATGTGTAATGGAGAAAAAATTGAATTTTGTGCGTATTTGTATCAGCCTTAATCCTTCTTTGCATAATGGTGGAAATTTCCATCATAACATTGAATGCCCAAAAATTATATAAAAGAACACGTTCACTTTAAGTTGATCGTCTCTGGATACCTTTTTAATGTCCATTGCAGAAAAAAAAACATAACTGTCAATTGTTAGTAATAAGACCTGACATATTGTTAGCAATGCACCCTATCTGGTTGACTTCCACGCGGTTCCCCTGGAAACCATCGTGATTAATTCTTCTGGAATTGGCCACAATGGGATAATTGGTCTGCTTTCTTGTTTACCTACCGTCTCTCACTGGTGTCTCGCCAGTGTATGGTATACCGAAAGCGTAGATGGGTTTACCATTCCATTTTCACTCATAAAAAAAAATTAGGTATATTTTCTTAACAGTAACTAAATATATTTTGTTGTCTATATCGAGTACTAAGTTTTTAATACTGAAATTTGGCTAGTTTAGTTTATATATATTTTTCAGTTTTTTTTTTATTATTTCCTCATTCCCTAAACGGATTGGCATTTACTGATTCCTAGCATTTAGATTAGAAATCGTCGTTTTGTGTAGTCTTACACAGCGTTTGCTTATACAGGATCGCTACTTAAAAATTATTATTTATAAAAAATAGGAAATGTTTATTACCAATAACAAAATAACAACAAAATAACTTGTTGACTAATAAAAAAAACAAGAAATACGCTTCAAGTTTGTTGTTGCCAACGTGATCGCCAATAAGTGTATGCAAATTAATTACCAGCAGTACTGATGTTCTAGTTCTAGTAGTAGGCATGTATGATAACACAAGTGACGACAATAGAAGAAAGAAATTAAAATAAAACGAAACATAAAACCTTGAAGTTGCCCAGAATACAACGCATATTCAAATAATATACTATATACATGCTTACACACACCCATACGTCTTTCACACATACACATGAATACACACGAATGTATATCTATCTATACATATGTGTACATACCACATGCATATACATATATACACATGCAAACATACACACGTATACACAATACAATTATGTATGAATAGATTAACTGTAGCATAAATTAGTATTGAAAATATGTATATTATACAATGTAATGGCAGTGTCATACAATACATTCCCATTTACATGCTCTTTTGTGAACTTAAATAATAAATTTTTGTAATATTTTATTACAGTTAGACCTGTGGTTGGATTAAGTGTAGGTACATAGTTTAAATATTTTTTAAACGACTTCAAAAAAGGAGTTACTTCTTAATTCGTCGGATTCTTTAATTTTTTTTTTTTGAAATAGACGCCTGCATTATTTCGGAAAAATCTTTTTATCTAAAAGGATATACTTTCAAATTAGTTACATATTATATTTAATTAAAATCATTCCAGTTAGTTTAAAACCAAAATAACTGGATTTTTTTAAATTAAAATATAGAAAGATCACTCCCGGGAATGATGCAGTGAGCGGTGCTCTTAGACACTGCCCGCATTGTACGCTAGTTTCTCTCCCTGGGGCCCTGAACGCCGGCCGACTGTGCTTCTGCCGGGGGTTAGTTGCCATCTCCTCTCCTTAAGAGGTGTGAATTTTTTTACTAAATCTAAATAATATCCTTTATATACGTCACTTTGGTATTTCTATATATATTATATCATAGATTATGAATATTTTTTTTTAAATATATTTTTCTTCTTTTATTCTAATTTCAATTAAAATAAAATAATAATGTATTGTAAAATCTTTATTGTACATTACTATTTTACCATAAGGAGATTTTGTACAAAACTCGATTATTTGGGTACCTCTGTCCCATTCGTGTTTCAACCGTGAAGCAGTTGTGTTTGCACGGCTGTGTTTCGGTTTGAAGGGTGGGATATGGCGTAAAATTACTGGGTACAGAGGAGTAACAACTGAGTCCTCAGAAATGGCAACGCATGGGGGGTATCATGGGCGAAACAGTATACTCTGTTATGTCCATGGTACTGCTCATGTCTATAGGCGACGGTTGCCACTTTCCATCAGGTGGGCCGTCAGCTTGTTTGCCATTCTAAGTTGTATAAAAAAATATACTTAATTTCTATGTTGTTTTGTCATATGTAACATGTTTAATTTATATTTATTTCTTAAATTAAGACATACAGAAGTATCTAATGAATGATATTAATTAAGTGAAATGTTTGTTCAGTGTATGTGTAAATAAATAAATAAATAAATAAATAAATAACAGCTGCGGTTTTCTATGTACGGTGGCCAGGCGATGAATAGATAAAACTTGCGAAATATATAAAACAAGTATTATATTGTCGCCTTCATTTACTAATGATTTAACCTTTTAAATACATTTCCTTTGATATAATATTAAACTTAGATTGCTTTTAGCAATGATACCGCCTTATTGCATTTATACAGGTTTTACGTTGAGTACATTTGTTTTAATGTATGTATCAGGCACATCGGGAAGTCAGTACCCTTAGCCAGTTTTTAATGTAGTATTTTATTAGTGAAATTGAATATTTTTCTAAAAGAAACATGGGTCAAAAATTAAAAAAAATACCATCCCATTCAACATTTAGAACTGGTAGTGAACTTGGTAAATTTTTGTTTATTTTGTCTACTGCTAAACACAGGTCTTCACCTACAGGGAGAGTTTTGCTAGTAGTTGCTACACTTGGCAGGTGATTTGGTAACCGCAGTTAGTCTTTGATGTTTTAAGAGGGACGCTGCTGTCCATCTCGCACCATTAAGTTCTCATAGTCGCTTCTTACGACATCCACGGGGAGGGGTCTTCAAGCTGGAATACCCTGTGATATGAGGAATCAGATCACGATCACCCTTGGAAATATTTAGACCCGAGCCAACTCTGAAAAGTTTGTTTCCCAAATTGGCCCGACCGGGGATCGAAGCCGTTGTCACATTTACGCAAAGCAACATGCCTACAACTGCGTCTGAGAGCTCGTTGTCGTTGTTCTTCGAAATGGAAATATACGTGCTTTAGATTTTAATGTGTCTATTGAAAATAAAGCATATTCTATTTATTTATTTACTTTTTTGTCTCTATATATTTTATTTTAATTTATAATTTCTATAATTTTTATTTTATTTATAAGAACAAACTTTTAAAAACAATTCACCGAGCGTTCTTACAAGTAATCTTAGATAAGCATATGTTTTTTTTGCTACAAAATGGCCAACAAGCTGACAGTCCACTTTATTTGAAGTGGTAACGGTGAATTATAAAAAAAAATAACATTACAAATACAGGATATATCATGAGTACGGTACCCTTAATGCATTGCAATGGGATTAAGGCATTAATACCCCATGCTCTGGTAAGTTGCAATAGTTGAAAAAGTTCTTGAATAATTTGTCTATCCAGTTGACCTTAAGAGAATCGAACCCTATACCTAATTTACAAAACAATACGTCTACTTACTAGTTTATTACCATCAATCGAGCCGTATATTTATGTAGCACTTTTTTTTTTAATATAAATACATATAATTATTTATTAAAAAAACAAACACTTATTACTTACCATTGACTATTAAATTATAAATAAATTTAATTAAACACAAATTTAAAAGCCACTTTACAAAACAAAAATAAAAGAAAACAATTTTGTTTAATTTTAGTTACAATATTGTAAATATTATAAAAATGTAACGTTCCGAGCGTCTGATGTGACAGCTAAATAAACACTGAGAGGAAAATGCTTCTTGTAACGTATGCTGCGGGAAACTGCGGACAAATCCGATATGATAAAATACAACATAGTTTATTTTTATAGTGTTGATTAATAATAATGTATAAATAGAAACAATTCTATTAATGTATTAATTTGTATTTATTTTAATTTATTTTTATACAACATAGAACGGCAAACAAGCTGACGGCCCACCTGATAGAAAGTGGTAACCGTCGCCTATAGACATGAGCAGTGCCATGGACATAACAGAGTATACTGTTTCGCCCATGATACCCCCCATGCGTTGTCATTCCTGAGGACTCAGGTGTTATTCCTCTGTACCCAGTAAATTGACGCCATATCCCACCCTTCAAACCGAAACACAGCCATGCAAACACTACTGCTTCACGGTTGAAACACGAATGGGACAGAGGTACCCAAGCAATCGATTTTTGTACAAAGTCTCCCTCTAATTGCCTCGTTGAATTGCGATAGACATCTGTCAATCTAGATTTAGATTAGTTATCTAGTCGCTAGAAGTTTCTGTCTGTCGGATAGATAATCCTTGTTAATGGAAACGCTAGTCCTTATTGCTAACAGTATTGTCAGATCAACCCGCCACAAACTAAAGTTTCATCCCAATCATCTGGACGAGTGGCGGTCTTCCACCGTGCGTTTTTCAAGGCACTTTCTTCCACGCACAACCATTCTTTGGAATCAACTTCCAGCAGCAGTATTTCCGAACCGATACGACAACATAACCTTCAAGAAAAGAGTATATTCCTTTTTAAAAGGCCGGCAGCACACCTGCAATGCCGCTGGTGTTGTGGGTGATCATGGGCGGCGGTAGTCACTTACCATCAGGTGAGCCGCATGCTCGTTTGCCCCCTGTGTTGTAAAAAAAAAAAGATCGACTTCCATGCGGTACTCCCTGGAAACCATCGTGAACAGTTGATTAGCATCTCTCTATCCGACTGGTTCTTTATTAGATATATTGGCCTTCTTTTTTTATGTATTTATATGGTTGTTTATTTTACGTTAATTTTGTTTTTTTTTTTGTGCCTGTAATTATATATTTTGTTCTAGTATTAGGTACATATTTATTTATTTATAGGATCACCAACATAAGATGCAGCGAAGCATTTCAATACAATACACTGGTGGATTAGGACTATCTGATCTTACATTTTTTTTATGGGTGAAAATGGTAAGGTAACCCCGCCTGCGCTAACGGGATATGCTGGCGGATCACCAGTGAACGGTGATAGATGAGAATGAAAACAGGCCAGTTGGCCCATCATGATGAATTCATCAGGAATTAACCATGATAGTTTCCAGGGGGAACCGCGAGGAGGTCGACCTGGTTGGGTATATTGCTAGCAATGGGATTCTCAGTCTCCATTACTAACAATCCCTTTCCCCCTGTTCTTACATTTAGAAGCAACCACAGCATGCTTCGTGTTTTTATTTAATATACATATTTAATAATAAGCATCAAATAAAATTAATTGTTTGTTTGTTTATTAATTATTATTTTTATTATTTCTTTTTATTTTAGACTTTAATTGAACTGAATTTAATTTAATTGCTTTCTATTTGTATGCATTTTTTTTATACAACTTAGAATGACAAACAAGCTGACGGCCCACCTGATGGAAAGTGGTAACCGTCGCTTATAGATATGAGCAGTACCATGGACATAACGGAGTATACTGTTTCGCCCATGATACCCCCCATGCGTTGCCATTCCTGAGGACTCAGGTGTTATTCCTCTGTACCCAGTAAATTCACGCCATATCCCACCCTTCCAACCGAAACACAGCCATGTTTTGTTTTGTTTGTTTTGGTTTCTTTTGTTCTTGTTTTGTGCGCTACTGTATTGACCATATGCTTCTTCGATTAAATTCTTTTTTTCTTTCTAATACTTAATATATGAGATTATCCAAACAATAAGATCGCCTTTTATAAATTGTTTTCTTTTTGTAAATTGTAACGTATTTATTTCTGCGTTGATTTATCGTAGTATATTGTTATGTTAGGTATATGTATTTATTATATTTTACATGTTTAACACTACTTTAATTTAAGATAAACGCGACTTTATTATCCGGATGATAATAACGTTATCTTTATAGATGCATGATAATATCTGGCAGACAGCAAGTTTTTGAGATATATACAATATAATATAAATAAAAGTGACTGGCAAATTTTTTTGTCTTAAATAAATTTGGTATAACACTATTCATAAAATGTTTAACACAAGAAATTAGATTAAAATTGATTAAAACTAGTGTTTTTTTCCCGCTTCTTCCTGCGTGGATTTCAGAAGTAGGAGAATAAATTAAATAAACCATTTTTACTTTTTTTTTTAATATAGGTAAAACTCTGCTCCCTAAATAGGTAAATCCTGTACTTTAGGATAAGCAGTGCTCTTCCCTATACGGCATAATGACACAAAATATATATAAAAGAGACCAGAGGAAGACTTTGTACAAAAGTCGATTGCTTGGATACCTCTGTTCCATTCGTGTTTCTAACGTGAAGCAGTTGTGTTTGCATGGCTGTGTTTCGGTTTGAAGGGTGGGATATGGCGTGAATTTACAGGGTACAGAGGAATAATACCCGAGTCCTCAGGAATGGCAACGCATGGGGGGTGTAATGGGCGAAACAGTATACTCTGTTATGTCCACGGTACTGCTCATGTCTATAGGCGACGGTTACCACTTTGGGCCGTCAGCTTGTTTGCCATTCTAAGTTGTATAAAAAAAAGAAACAATAAAACTTAAGGTACTAATACAATAATAATTTAATTTGTCCAAATAATCTCTACTACTCCCAATACTTGACTATGCCGACGTCTGTTTTTTGGATGTGACTGAGGAGCTTCTAAACAAGCTGGAACGATTACAAAATCTGGCCATTAGGTTCATCTTTGGTCTTCGTAAATATGATCACGTTTCTGCCTTTCGCAACCAGTTAAAGTGGCTTCCTATCCGACTTCGACGTGATATGCACATCCTTTCTTTCCTTTATAACATACTTAATAACCCCAATTCTCCTTCGTACCTCCGCTCTCGATTTAAATTATTACCACCACCAATCCGTCCTAATGGGCAACTCTTTCTCGTATCGAGCTGCTCAATTATGGAACAAACTCCCTTCCCACATACAAGAGAGCCCTTCAATTACCTCTTTCAAGAAAAGGTTGAAGTTACATTTTCTTTCCTTTGAGTCATAATTTATTTATTTTTATAATTGAACTGTCAAACTTTGAAATCATTGAACTAAATTTCTATTCTAGGTAGTATATTCATTTATTTTAACATCCACTGTATAAGTAAGTAGATATTATATTTATTTATAGTATATGTATTTATGTAATATTTTATTATGTATCTTAATATTTTATTTAACTGTATATTTGTTTATGTATACTAAATATTAATAGTTGTAGCACTTCAGCTGCCCGCTAGCAACATGTTTTCTAACTGCATTGGGTTGACTGGAAGAGATCTCTGTCAGAGATAAGTCCACCCTTGCTCACAATATTTATAAATGCATTAACATTGTAATTTACAAGTGCAATAAAGAATATATAATAGTAATATAATAATAATATTTTGTAAGTGAATCTTGACTGTCTAAGTTGTGAGTGTATGGAATGGATGTGTTATTGTAAAATGGCGGACATAACCTAATAATAAATACTCAGTTTCAACATATGTCTTACTTAATAGCCGTAATATTTTAGATGGCATATTAAGATAAAACTGTCACTAGTTTTTAAGTTAGAGCTTCAAGAACACTAGTGCTTATAGTGTATGTTGTACACTATATCTGCGGGGTGAAAATTAAGTTAAATAATTAATAATAAATATTAATTATTTAAAATAATTAATTCGCCTACGGTGTTGTAAGTGTCTATGGATTGCGCTGACCGGTTATTATCAGGCGGACCGTATGCTTAATTGATTCGACCGTATGCTTTGTTGCATAAATAAAAAAAAAATAAAAAAATTTAACTGGCAAAACCAGTTAGTTTAAGTTAAAAACGAAACTACAGTGCCGATTTTGAAAAAAAAAAACAGTTTTATTTCAGTATAACAAACAAAAAATATTGTGCAAATCGGTTTATAAATGACGCATTTTTGAACAACAAATAAAGAAGAATACAAACGAATTGAAAATCATCTACATTTTTTGAAGTCAGCTTGAGAATGACACTTTCGGTTTTAGTTCCAAGAAAGAAATATGACATTTCCAAATTTAGTCCTAAAAAAAAAAGAAATACGTGGAAATTTCGCTAAATGTCCGATCGAACATCTGTACCGTAACAAAACATGTACAATGTCACCGTTTAAGGTCACGTGTAAACGCTCTATTGAATATATAAAATATAAAGGCCTGTATGTATTTTCGTTGATAAAATTTGCTCGGAGTACTTGTCTACAAACAGATGTTTTTTTTTGGAGGTTACAATTTGCTAAATAGTTATAAATCAATGACATTACTACTTGCAGTTGTGTCCCGGCATAGATTTTTTTTTTGATGGCTGTAAATGGTATGGTAACCCCGCCTGCGCTAACGGGATACGCTGGCGGAGCACCAGTGAAGGGTGATAGATGAGAAAGAAAGAAACACTAAAGACAAAAAGCCAATTATAGTATTCACAAATAAAAACAAGATTTAACTAAATGCACATCGCTAATACTTACAATCAGCTAAGTTAAACCTAGAATAACAACATTATAATAATACCCACATTATAAGTAGGCAGTTATGCAAAATAAAAAGTTGAATACACACGTTCAAAGATGAAATATCTTGTGCATGACGCACCTTTATTTTCACGCTTCCTTTTTAATTTTATTAAAAAGATGTTTTGTTTGTAATTTGATGTTACTGTCAGTTTAGTTTTGTTTTCGTTCGCCGTTGGTTTTTTTTTTATGGGTGAAAATGGTATGGTAACGGGATACGCTGGCGGAGCACCAGTGAAGGGTGATAGATGAGAATGAAAACAGGCCAGTTAGCCCATCATGATGAATTCATCAGGAATTAACCATGATAGTTTCCAGGGGGAACCGCGAGCAGGTCGACCTGGTTGGGTATATTGCTAGCAATGGGATTCTCAGTCTCCATTACTAACAATCTCTTTTCTGCACCCTTGGTTTGCTTTGTATATTTTTTATATTTTATCTTTCTAAAAACACCGTGTTTCCATACCAGCATACAGTCCTTTTGCCCACATATCTAATAGAAATATAAATTTATTATTTGACAATAACACTAAGTTACAATCAAAAGATACAATGGGCCCCACACTAGGCGAAACTGTATCGTGAAGGCGGGGGGAAGGGATTGTTAGCAATGCAGTTTGACAGCCCCATTGCTAGCAATATGCCCTATTAGGTCGACCTCTACGTGGTTCCTCCTGGAAACCATTGTGAACAATTTTAGTTAAATTAAGCACTTAGGGCTGACTGTCCTGCTTTCATCCTCACTTATCACCTCTCTCTGGTACCCCGCCGGTGTATACCTAGCGCAGGCGGGGTTACCATTCCATTATCACCCATTAAAAAAAATTACAACGACAAATCTCTAAACCGTGTGCCGGATCTGAAGCAATTTCACAACAATGATGGGCAGAATTGGACCAACTTCACATTGACCTTGGGGGCCGGTTTATTTCGTCACGTACCGGTGTCGATAGTCGATAATACTGTGCATCGTTGCAACACTAGCGCGGTGCCGATTGTTGGTCAATTCTTTAATCGATACAAGTTATTTGATCGATTAAAACTATTAGAGTTATAACTCGGTAATGTACAGTTTTGATGTAAATATAAAAAAGCCACAAAATACTCACAATCTTCAGCTTTAAAAGTCTTAATTCTATTTATTCATTTTATTTTACTTAAATCCATGATGCAGGGTGCATTGGTTACATTGCTCGAAGAACGGGAAGAAAGGTTCTCGAGTGGCGACCTCGTACGGGCAAACACAGTGTGGGACGATTCCCCACTAGTTGGAGAGACGACCTGAAATGCATTGCAGGGAGTCAGTGGGGATGCAGGTGGCTCAGGACCGTTCTTTATGGCAGTCTATGGGGGAGGCTTATGTCCAGCAGTGGACCGATAATGGCTGAAATGCTGATGATGATGATGACCTTGTATTGCTATTTCTGAGGGCTAATGTATTATTATATCTTCGTAGTTTGGAATGTCATTGTCATATTCCACCCTTCAAATTGTAACGTAGTGCAAGTTTTACCACTCTAACAGAGACATGGATGGGTCCTCTGGTGTTTTTACATGTTGGTAGGTCTCGTCTATTCCATTTTCTGGTTTATTTAAGGTCGCCATAATAAATCATTCTCTTCTACAAATCCCTAACAATCATCATACATGGGCTCACTCATCTTTTATCTTTAGTGGGCCACTTTTTTTTACATCTTTATTACCTTTACTATTTTAGTGTAAAATTTAAAGAACAAGTTCCAAATGAAATGTATGCATGACACACGGTATAATGCAGATAGTCTTTTCTTTAACAATAAATACTAACCTGTATTCGAGCAAATAAAGTTATCATTCGTTCATTCATTTAAAATGTTGCATTCATTCCTTCGTATGACGTATATTATACCAAGAAAATCTGTTACTTAGAGTATAGATAAATATTTTTAATATAAAAACATGTTCTGAAACAAAATGTATAGAACTAAAATATTTTTCATGTCTTTTCTAAGAAATGAATTTAAATTTAAATATTTTTTATTCAAATAGATTTGTTAAAAAGCAATTTTAAATCATCATTTTTTGTTTAAATCTACTGCAGAGTTCGGAAAGTTGTTATCTGTTGACAAGAGTTCGCAAGAAACTTTGTTAAGTACTGCATTTGCCCGTACAAGGTCGCCACTCGAGAATCTTTCTTCCCCATCGATTGTCGGTTCTTCGAGTTATGTAACCAATGCAGAGTATCATGGATATAATATAAGTAAAAGAAGACAAATAAATAGAACTAAGACTTTTAAAGCTTAAGAATAATTGTTGTTCTCTCTTTTAAACCTCTGTTAACATTATGTGTATTTATTTAAATGTACTATGTCTAAAATACATGGTCATTAAAGTATATGCATACATCGACTAACACCATGCACGTTTGTCATTCAAGTAATCGTTTAGTGTGTAATAGGTTTTGTTCAACAAATGTTTTTTAATAACAGTTTTAATCCTTCTTTGCATAATGGTGGAAATTTCCATCATAACATTGAATGCCCGAAAATTATATACGAGTAAAACACCAAGTTCATTTTAAGTTGATCGTGTCTGGATACCTTTTTAATGTTCATTGTAAAAAACAAGACATAGCTGTCAAATTTATTTTTATAACCATTTTTTAATCTTTAATTATGAACATGAATTTTTTTGTTTTAATGTATGATAATGGAATGGTAACCCCGCCCGCGCCACCGGCGGGGCACCAGTGATAGGTGATAGGTGAGGATGAAGCAGGTCAGTTAGCCCATCGTGACGAATTCAACAAAAATTGTTCACGATGGTTTCCAAGGGGAATTGCGTGGAAGTCGACCTGATAGGGTATATTGCTGGCAATGGAACTGTTAGATCCCATTACTAACAATCCCTTTCCCCCCTGAACATGAATTATATATCACCTTGATTTTTTTTAACAATAAAAAAATCATGCAAAGATGGGTTAAACTTATTAAAATGTCTGGCATTCTAAGGTTAAATTGTAAATAGTTTAATTTAAACTCATCATTGTGATCATTCGCATCACGTGTTTCGTTCGCGGTTAACTGACGTCAACCGAGAATGAACGACGTGGAGTGAATGAAAAAGTAACCTTTTCTGACGGAGATTTTACGATCCGTAATGCCATTAAAAGGTAATACTATCTACCTATCTATCTAGCTATCTATCTATCTAAATCGTGATAAATTCAATAAATAATAACCTTCGTTATCCAGGCTCGACCTGACAGGATATATTGTTTTTTTTTAATGGATAATGGAATGGAACACGCCTGCGCTAACGGTATACGCTGGCGGGGCACCAGTGAGGGATGATAGGTGACGACGAAAGCAGGTCAGTTAGTCCATCGTGATGAATGCGACAAGTATTAATCACAATGGTTTTCAGGGGGAACCGCGTGGAGGTCGAGCTGACTGAGCTGATGAGGGCTGGTTAGTAATGGGATTACTAGTCCCCTCTTATTTAGTATTAATACGACCTTTAACTAATGAATAAATAAATGAGGTTAACCAAAGTGAGTGTGGTGTAAATCTAATAATTGTGCCGGATTCGAACCCACGGCTATTAGAAGGTGAGGCAGCGTGTTCAACCGCTAAACCACTAGCCAACGTTGGTACTGGTAATATAAAGAGTTATGTAATCTATTACCAAATATAAACAGGATATGCCTTACATTTGAAGGCAGGTACATCATCAGTCCTTATTCGTTCCATAATGACATCACTACACTTTCATCCGCCGACGCAGTCGGTGAAATGACTTTGTTTGCATTCGAAGGAATCGATTCAGTGAGAGTGGACAGTGGTGGGTTTCTTTTTTCCTAAATAAATATATGTAAGTATTTTAGAATTTTTTTTTTAATATTCTCTGTTATTTTTGAAATGTAAATTGCTTTTTTTTTATAACATTACTTAGACGAGAAGGTACTTGATAAGTGTGACAGTAAAGATTAGTATTTTGCAAGTTTCTAGTAATAAGTTAAAAAAAAAAAAGAATTTTAGAAGATTTTATGAACGTCCCAACTGTGAGTTTTAAATGTATTTCTTTTATTTTTTTTTATACAACTTGGAATGGCAAACAAGCGGACGGCCCACCTGATGGAAAGTGGTAACCGTCGCCTATAGACATGAACAGTACCATGGACATAACAGAGTATACTGTTTTGCCCATGATACCCCCCATGCGTTGCCATTCCTGAGGACTCAGGTATTATTCCTCTGTACCCAGTAAATTCACGCCATATCCCACCCTTCAAACCGAAACACAGCCGTGCAAACACAACTGCTTCACGGTTGAAACACGAATGGGACAGAGGTACCCAAGCAATCGACTTTTGTACAACTTTTTGCCAGCTTCGTACGCGAGCATTTCGGAAGTAGTTTTTTATTTTATTTTTCAATATAAATACGAAGTTTGTGATAGTCATTTTATCCATTTATAATTTTCTTTTTTGTAAATTTAACTTATATTTGAAAAAAACAAACAACAGCTGTGTTTCTCGCCCGTTCTTCTCAGTTGAAATTGCGTTCCGAACTGGGCGGTTGTTCATAAAAACAAAATGACTGTTCAAATGCTTATTATGCTTAAGTTAACTTGAATAAAAATTATTTATTATTATTATTATTAGGGAAACTAATAAAATAGATCACTTCTAGATGGCGTAACAAGACAAAATAAGCTTTTAAGTTGGACCATTAGAAACATAGTAGTGAAAACCGCATTCAATTTGATATAGTTTTTGTGTGATGCCGAAACAAACATACAGATAGACAGATTGTCAAAATTTCTTGATGTAAATATAAATGAAATACGCAGATTCAATAATGAAAGACAAAATATATTTTTATTAAAGTAGCCATACATTACAAGTATTATCCATGACTAGACGACGTACTCCAAAATGATACCACTTTTATAGTTCCACTAGTGTTTTTTTATATTTAATTACATATCAAAATTATAGTTATAAAACATTACACGAAGAGATACAAGAATGGTATGCAAAAATTCAAATCATTCTTTTTTTCTTTTTTTAAATATACTATGTGGCTTTTTTCCAGCCATGACCAATGACCAAAGAATATAGAAAGGAAGTAACAATACAGGCAACATTCATAAAGAGTGTTGCCAACATATTAATTTTGACAATTACCAAAATTATTGTATTATATTGCATAGATAATTGACATTTCTAATTATTATTACTTTCGTTTATATTACAATCCCTTCTATTTTTTTTTTAATTAAAAAAGTAGCCTATGTCCTTCTCCGTCCCTTATAAGTGTATAGTTATTAATTAATTTCATAGTGATCGGTCACAACACTGAGGCATGAAGAGTAAAGAAACAAAGCAAACAAACACACTCACTTTCATATTGTAATAAGTTGTAAAGCCAAAATTTTATCTATGTCGCAAATTTTTATTTTTGCTTATACTGTCCGCATTCTTGAATTTTTTGTAAGTTTTAAATCATTATTAGAATGTTAAAGAATCTGACAACCCCCCTGATAGAAAGTGGAATGGTTTAGTATAAAATACACTGTGAGGTATGATTAAAGTATTCTCTCTGTTCAGTACCAAGTAATTTTGGTGCCATAAGAATAATCTTTCAAAATGAAATGAAGCAATGCAATATAGGTGTAAAATAAAGCAATGCATTACAGAAATACAGGTGAGATTAGACATACAGGTAAAATTAGTTACTTAGAAGTTTCGGGATGTGTAGATAATAAAAAGAGTTTATGTCCCTTCTCATATCAAGTACCATAGTATACGCCATATTTTACGAGGAACGATAGAGTCGTCAAAGTGCCAAGAACCATCCAACAAAGGTACATTAGTGTTCAAAGCGCCTTATGAATATAATTTAGCAATGTTGAAGATTCGCAATACGCGCGTCACATCCTTTTGTATGGCAGGCGTCTGTATTTTTTTAAAGGATAAAAAGAAATCAACTCCATCTGCGTTATTTGTTTACGCTGGTTGGGAATCAGTGAGGGATGACAGGCAAGAATAAAATCAGGCCTGTTGGTCCATTGTGATAAATTCAATAGGTTTAGTTTCTGGGTATTTGGTTGGGACTATTTTAATAGGGCAGTAGCAGAATAGTAGTCCATATTATTTACAGATCATGGCCGTAGCTAGGGAGAGGGTGGGGGGGGGGGCAATGCCCTACCTCAAAAAGCCTAATGCCCCACTTCAAAATGAAAGACCCCAAGAAAATTAGACAGATTTGCTATTTCAGTCATTTAATTATGACTCCTAGCCCTACCTTAAACTTAGGTCTAGCTACGATCTCTTCCATCAACGTACACACATTACGGTAACCCTTTACTATCAGACTAGCCGTATGGCATCATTGCGTACATAGGTACGCGCAAGCTAATCGCAGGAAATAATTGGTATTCTTATATAGTTAAAAACGTACTATAACGAGATTGCATTTACGTGATTACATTCGTAAATGGGTGTCCATTTCAAAGAATGACTTTTTAATGGCAGCGTGAGACACTGTTTATGCTTTTGTTAAAAAGTTAGAAGCACAGTACTTTATTATAATAGCCATACCATATGTGACATGTTTAACGTATTCGTATACCGTTTGAGGTGAAAAATCAGGACGATGCGTAATTAACTTTACTAACAATGCTTGATAAATATAAACTGGGCATATATTTAGGTTATTTTCATAGATAATATTTATATATATATATAAATATTACCTATATACATATATATATATTATATGTAGTTGAAAGAATTTTTATAAATATTACAAACAAACAAACATACATAAAATCAAATCTTACCTATTTATAATGTTAGCATAGATCTACTTATAATATTTTTTACATATTTTGCAGGTTATTAAAAAAAATGGCTGTTTATGTTCTCATAGTTGTATGTAGTATAAATTTTGCCCTTGCCAGTGGATTATTAGAGAAAGCTACTAATGGATCTGACTCCGTGGTAACATTGTAAGTATTTCTTTGTATATTTTACCCTTAATTTATATAGATAGAGTATCTCAAGCACAAATGCTCTGAGAAAATCGGGTCAACTTTTTCATACAATTTTGCGTGATAAATAGTTATGAGTGATTCCTTTATAACTTCTATATTTATTTTGTCTTATAAATTTTGTATATTTTTAATGCGTAAACACTCATTTTATTTATTAAATAATACGTCAAGATACATTTTATGCGTAAATATATACAACACTAATAAAAAAAAACGAGTTAGTTAATTTGACAATTAGCTGATAAAAAGTTGACCCGTTTTTGAGACTCGATGCTCTATCTATATAATCTAAGATTTTACCATCATTTTGAATAAATACTATCTTTTATCCCCGAATTCGTCCGAGTGACTAGAGTATATGTATTTACAAGGATAAATACGACTAACTGTATACCAAATTTCATAGTGATTGTTTGAACTAACAAATAAACTAACTTTCTTATTTTAACACTAGCTATATATATATATATATATATATATATATATATATATATATATATATATATATATATATATATATATATATATCTCGTGACTTCGTATATAAAGGGTCCTATAAACATTCGAAATTAGTTTATTTAATGAACAAAATTTTAAATTACCTGATTTACATTCCATTCCAAATTTAAAACTGTGGTGAGGTTAGAAAAAAAATAGTTTACATAGCTATGTGAATGGAATGGAAGTCGAATATTTAATTAAATAAAAAGAAAAAAAGAAACTGACTACGTGTCTAGACGTTATAATTAAAAAGAAAAAATAAGTAATTTAAGTATATTTCACTTTAAGAACAAGAAATTACATAGAAGGAGCGATAAAATTGACAATTCATAGCATCTGTATATAAAATGTTATATGTCTGGTATAACATCTATCAAATTATTTGCATACTCTACATTTGTCGAATATATAATCTTATATATTTGTTATTGACAAATAATTGACATATCAAACATTTTCTATACATAACCTGCTATATGTATATATATATATATATGTGTGTCTATATATATATATATATATATATATATATATATATATATATATATATATATATATATATATATATATATATATATGTTATTTTATATATATATAATTGTAATTTAAAATTTATATATGTATAAATAAGCCGTGAAGCAGTTGTTTGTGTGTGTGTGTAGGGTGGGATATGTGAATAGATGGGTACAGAGGAATAATACTGTTTATATTATTATATGTATCTCTGTTATGTCCATATTTAGTCTATAGGCGACGGTTACCACTTTCCATCAGGTGGGCCGTCACCAAATTGTTTATAAAAAAAAAATGCAGTGACTGTTACTGGAAATTTGATCAGAAGGCTTTTTTTATGCAACTTAACACAGCCATGCAAACAACTGCTTCACAGTAGAATATTTTTGATAAGGGTATGTTTGTATTTTTATATTTACTTATTATTCATTTAATCATCTTGGCTTCACTTAAGGGCACATATTATTAATGTTTTATAATTGCTTGTATATTTATATTTATTGATTTTTTTCCTTTTCTTTTATATTAATACCCGCCAAATATGTACTTTTTATTATAACACATTGTGATTTGTTAATTTTTGTCGGTACAGTTTCGCCTAGTGTGGGGCCCATTGTATCTTGTGATTGTAACTTAGTGTTATTGTCCAAAAATAAATTTCTATTTTTATTCTATATTTAAACATTTCAGAACAACAATCAATAATTTAAATGCATCAATAATACATGGAGAATCTATGCCTCGAACCAGATTCGAAGATGAAGAGATCCTAATAAAATATAGAAGACAGAATGGAGCTATTAAATTCGAAGATCAGTCTGATCAGAGATTCAAATTTGAAGATGCCATTGTGACGAGTGGGTATATTGTCACATAGTGTTGGTAATAAATATGATTATTATATATCTGCCGTGTGGTCCCGGCATAGAATAGGCCACCCCTTCCTTTCCCGTGGGTGGCTAAGAGTCGACTAAGGGATGGCCGCAGCAGCGTTCCTTTTAAAACATCTCTAAAAGCCTAACTGCGGTTGTCAACCCGCCTGCCAAGCGTGGCAACTACTGGCAAAACACCCCTTATGGGGAAGGCTTATGTTCAGCAGTGGACAGTTAACGGCTGCAATAATAAAAATTGGTAATAAATATGATTATTATATAAGTGCCGTATGGTCCCGGCGTAGAATGGGCCACTCCTTCCTTTCCCGTGGGTGTCGTAAAACGCAACTAAGGAAGCTAATGGTCGAGGGACGGGCAGCAGCGTCTCTCTTAAAACGTCACCAACGCCTAACTGCAATTGCCAACCTGCTTGCTAAGCGTGGCAACTACTGGAAAAACTTCCTTTATGGGGAGGGCCTATGATCAGCATTGAATAGATAGTTAACGATTATAATGGTATATATGATAATGGTCGCATATCTTGAAGCAAGTCATACGCACTATAATACAATAAGCATTATCACGACCTTAGAATATAATGAAATCCAACGAGGACTGGTCCACTCGTCATACTCGTGGACGGGTACTTCTTGGAATAAAGTATTTAAAATTTAAATTCAAACCAAATGTTTTCAAATAGACTTGTTTACAAACATTTTTAAATCGTATTTTTTACGAATCCATTGCAGGTATTGCAGGGTACGGAATGTTGTTATCCGCTGAGAAGAATTCACAAAAAACTCAACAATTGTTTTTTTAAATACAAATATTATAATTATGTGTGCTAGTCGTTGTATTTAATTAAATTATTTATAACTTGTCAAATTAAACTTTCGCTTAAAAAAAGCAACAGTTGAGTTTCTTACTTATTTTTCTCAACTTAAAGAAGAAGTAGAATCATAAAAAACGATGCAAAAATGCTTAAAATAAAGATTTGAATAACACTTATATTAATTTCAGATGTTAATGAACCGTACAGAGATGAGATTTATTCACAAGGCATTAAGTTTGAAGAGGATTCTAAACCTGATGCTGGTAACCAAATTGGTTACGGCTATGCACAAGATATAAAAATAGAAGATAACAAAGAACACAAGCCAGCCAAGAAAAAGAAAAGAAGACGCAGGAGGAAGCCAAGATATCAGTTTGCTGATTATCCAGGTGCTCAGTATCCGGCTGGTTCACCTCAAGGGTTGCCCGTGCAGGTTGGACAGTACCCTAATCCTGGACTAGCACAGTTCCAAGGCCAGGTTCCGTATCCATACCCAGTAACTGGTGTTCCGGGACAGTATTATCGTAAGTAGGATTGTTATGTAATTTTTTTTTTATAATTTTGTCTAATTCGTTGATACGAGTAATTTTGAAATCGTTGGTTTCTTTGAAATTTAATTTATTTTACTGAAAGAAATCTCTTTTAGAAATAAGTTCGCCTTTGCTAACATTGTTATTAACTTATTGTTGTTACTGTATGTTTTAGTGAAATAAAGAAGACGTGATATATATATAACGTAACTTACAAAAATATAGATGCAAAAACTAAGAACTCTTCTTAGAAATTTCCTAACAAACGTTGTAACAACTTACCTAGAGTTAAATTATGTAACAAGTTTCATAAGAAATTAATTTCATGTAATTTTTATAATATGTGATATATATATATATATATATATATATATATATATATATATATATATATATATATATATATATATATATATACCGTTATTATGCAAAATCTGAATGTGCAAACATTTTGTAACAATTACATATGTAACAAGTTTCATAAGAAATTAATTTCTTTTAATTTTTCTGTACACAAGTTTTAACATAACCGTTAATGTAATGTAAATTGGACTCTCCTTTCCGCGCTTAGCCTCCCATTTGGGCCGTTGTGCGTATGAGTCGTGGCTAGTACAACCAGCCCAGCTCCGCTCAGAAGCACAGAAGCTACAAAAGTCGTTTGCTTGGGCACCTCTGTTTCATTCGTGTTTTTAGCGTGAAGCACTTGTGTTTTTTTTTTATTGAGTGATAATGGTATGGTAACCCCGTCTGCGCTATCGGTATACACTGACGGGGCACCAGTGATAGATGATTGATGAGGATGAAAGCAAGTCAATTAGCCCATCTTGACGAATTCAATGAGCCACGATGGTTTCCAGGGGGAACCACGTGGAGGTCGACCTGACAGGATATATTGCTAGTAAAGTTGTGTTTGTATGGCTTTGTTTCGGTTTGAAGGGTGGGATATGCGTGAATTTACTGGGTACAAAGGAATAACACCCTGAGTCCTCAGGAATGGCAATGCATGGGGGGTATCATGGGCGAAACAGTATACTCTGTTATGTCCATGGTATTGCTCATGTCTATAGGTGACGATCACCACTTTCCATCAGGTGGGCCGTAAGCTTGTTTGCCATTCTAAGTTGCATAAAAAAAGGTATTGTAGTAATAATAATAAATATGTTTTACGATTAACAATGTCAAGTTTACTTTCTTAACTAAAACAGTTTTAAAAGAAAGCACTCTGTATATTTATTACGAACATTCGAATATCTTTTCGGTAAACATATTTAAGTACTAAATGTAAACTAAAGTTTTAAAAACACTCTGTATACAGTTTTAATAAGAGTTTGATTTTAGGGCCTCCCAAACGCCCTAAGACTTCTGCAGCGAGTCAAGCCCTGTCCGCCATCACGGGGGCTCTTAGTTCCATTGCGTTGTATGACGACTACCAGTGTGTTCCGAGGTTGCTGTGTGAAGCTGCGGGCGGAGGAACCCTGGGCTCTGGGGTGCTGCAGTCGGTGGCAGGGTTGCAACCTTTACTCACGTAAGTTTATATATACATAGTTAAATGTTTAAAGTCACCAGAGGGAGACATTGTACAAAAGTCGATTGCTTGGGTACCTTTGTCCCATTCGTGTTTTAACCGTGAAGCAGTTGTGTTTGCATGGCTGTGTTTCGGTTTGAAGGGTGGGATATGGCGTCAATTTACAGGATACAGAGGAATAACACTTGAATGGCAACGCATGGGGGGTATTATGGGCGAAACAGTATACTCCGTTATGTCCATGGTACTGCTCATGTCTATAGGCGACGGTTACCACTTTCCATCAGGTGGGCCTTCAGCTTGTTTGTATAAAAAAAAAACAAATTGAGAACGTTTTACTTTTCAATCAATTTAAAAAAAAAGAAGGCGATAGTCATTTTGGTTCTATTTTTTTTACATTATTACACTTTAATATTTATACGTATTAAGGTATAATAATGTAACTTTACCTTATAGTCAATGAGCTAATGCTGATCTTGAATTTATTAAATTACAGCTTACTGGCAGCTTACAATGGCATCAGTACATCTCCGCTCTTCGTGTTCGGTCGAGCAGTCCTACTTGGGATGACTTCCAAGGGGAATACTGGTACTTGTCGATATGCCTATCCTCAATGTCCGACAGATCCTGAACAATTAGTTCACTACCTCAATAACCATAACGGAGGATTCTTTAGATTTTTCAACGCCCCTCAAGTGCCAGATCCCCAGTTTGGACAACAAAATGTGGAGCAATTCTACAATCAACTTTCTGTACCTCAAAATTACGGATTGTATCAACCAAATATAGATCCTGGACAGAATTATGGGTTGTATCAACCAGTTAATCCTGGGTTGACAGATCAAAACTATGGATTATACCAGCCAAACGATTTTCGACCAGGACAAGAGAATTATGGATTTCAACATAATAATAACGGATTTCAAAGACCTAATAATAATATTTATAGCAACAATTTGGCATATAATAATTACGGTTCAAATTATCCACATAATAATAAACAAGGTTTTAATAAAATAATATTCAAGAACAATGATGAATTCGGTGATAATAAAATTCAGAAACGAATTTTGAATAATCCCGATAAAATATTTAGAGATGAAATTTACCATAATGACGAAAATCCCAAATGGTTATTCCCGGATAATAAAAACTTTGATAATAGTGATTATATTAGGAGTGGTAAAACTTTAAAATTCCCTGAAGGAGACAAAAACGTTGAATATAATAAACAGAATTATTATAATACAAATAATGATGTTAGAAAAGGTGTCAGATTTCATTTTCCGGATGGAGCCAATAATGTCAAGTACGTTAATTACTACACATTACCGCCAGCAAGTCAAAACAATAATAATAATGCTAACTTTCAAAATAAGCGAGTCGAAAATGCTTCTAATAATATAAATTTACATATAAGTAATAATGATTATAATCGAGATAAATATACTGTAAGTAATATAAATAATTATCAAACAAATACTAATAATAACGATGGAATTGAAACTGTGTACATCGTTAGAGGCAATGGTGATCCAAATCATCCAGAAATTGTTAAAGTTAAGGCAGGACAAGTTATCCAGTAATGATATAATCATGTATACTATAATATTGAATGTGTTATTTGTTGTATTGTATGCATTCCATTTCATTGAAAAACAAATTGGTAAATAAGTAATGTTATATTATATTGTCGTTGTCAAGAATGGCAACGTATAAAGGATATGATGGGAATCGCAGTCTATTCTTTGACGTTCACAGCGCTGATCATGCCTATAGGTGACGTTTATTACTTTCAATCAATCTGTGTCCTCGACTTATTTTTAATCTAATTGTATATAAAGTTATTAAAAAGTTAGACTTTATTTTTTTTTCTACCCGCATTTAGAATTAATAATAAATGTTTAATCTTGTCTGAACTATTGATTCACGCTGACGGAATACTAGTGAGGGATAATAGGCGAGTGTAGGCGGAGGAGAGATTATTGGTATGGGTACTGGTAACACCATTGCTAGCAATACATCCTGTCAGATCTACTTCTTTGCGGTTCCTCCTGGAAATCATCGTGTTCAGTTCCACTGGGAACTAAAAGTTTACGACCTTCATATTTAGACATACCTAAATGTTTACGCACTAACATATGCACACGCGCACACACATACACACGCACGCACGCACACACAAACACACACCCATACAAACACCTATGCGCATCCAAACTCACATTCAATGACACATATTTAAATTAACCCTGTTCGCCGCACTATAACTGTTAAATATCTAACTTTGACTTCCACGAGACAGGCTTTGCCTAGTGTGGGGTCATAGTAATATTGTACTACAGGGGGGAAAAGGATTGTTAGTAATAGAGACTAAAAATCCCATTGCTGGCAATATACCTAACCAGGTCGACCTCCACGCGGATCCCCCTGGAAACTATCATGATTAATTCCTGATGAATTCATCATGATAGGCTAACTGGCCTGTTTTCATTCTCATCTATCACCCTTCACTGGTGCTCCGCCAGCGTATCCTGTTAGCGCAGGCGGGGTTACCAATCCATTTTCATCCAACAAAAAAAAAATTGTACTACAGGCTCATTTTGTTTAAGGAAATAAAGTTAAATAAAAATGAATTGCGTCACGATGGGCTAACTGACCTGGCTTTTTATTCTCACCTACATTCCTTTAGCCAGCCCGCCAGCGTATACAGTTAGCGTAGGCGGGGTGGGGTTATCACTATCACCCATTAAAAAAGAACAGTCAGGTCATTTTTTTTTTAAATGGATGATAATGGAATGGTAGCCCCAGCCGAGCTATCGGTATACACAGGCGGGACACCAGTGAAGGATGATAGGTGAGCATGAAGTAGGTCAGTTAGCTCATCGTGACGAATTCAACAAGAATTGTTCACGATGGTTTCCAAGGGGAACCACGTGGAGGTCGACCTAATAAGGTATATTGCTAGCAATGGGGCTGTCAAACTCCATTGCTAACAATCCTTTTCCCCCCCAGTCAGGACAGTTAGCTCATCGCGGTTTACTAGGAATTAACTACGATGGTTCCCAGGTGTGGTTGGTTTCCGCGTCGATTTGAACCAGTATTGTGTGACTCATTTGAATGGGTGCCATCAATACGAGATTTTGACGTTAAGCATTTATGTTATACCTTCATTGTTGTTTTGTCTGGATTTGAAAATTTTGCAAAGCAATCTCTGATATTCATTCATTTTCATTTAAGAGTTTCCTCTTGTCGGTGCAACTAATTCATGCATCTTCCTCCAGCCAGTTCTATCCCAGGCCATATCCTTGACCTCCCTATACGACATGACACCTAGTGTTTCCTTTATCTGTCCCATGTAGTTAATCCTTGGTCTTCCTCTTCTCTTTTGCCCTCTATCTTTCCTTCTATTATGATAATCTCTGATATAAGAGGTATAAAATATGAGCTCTCAGAAAGAGAAATACGTAGACTTGCCTTTGTGTGGTGTGAATTCAAAGTTACGATTTCACATAGCTACACTCCTGGCGTTTGCTGTCTATCATTATAACCGTAAAAAATTAACTACAAAATATTATTAAAACTAAAAATAATGGACAATTAATATATCGGCCTTAACTTTATTTTTACACCGGCCGTTCACCCTGTGAAATATCGTAAAGCGTTTTACACGTCGTGAGACGATTACGACTTGGCTGCCGGCATGGCGTAGGCAGATGTCTACAAAAAGACATAATTTTTTTTTTATTGAATGCTAATGGAATGGTAACCCCGCCTGTGCTATCGGTATACACTAGAAGGGCAACAGTGAGGGATGATTGGTGAGGATGAAAAGGCAGGTCAGTTAGCCCATCGTGACGAATTCAACGATAAATTAGTCACAATAGTTCCAGGGGGAACAGCGTGGATGTCGACCTGATAAGGTATTTCCCTATAGAAGACATAAAGATTATAAACTTAAGTCTGTTTTTATACTGTAAGATAGTCTGATGATGTTTAATAGAGTAGTAGAAATCAATAAATGATCAATTGATTGATGTTTCGGTTTGCTAATTTCATTTAATGGGTGTTCCTGTGATTTTTTTTTTTTTTTTTTTTTTTTTTTTTATTTTGGCAAACAAGCTGACGGCCCACCTGATGGAAAAATCGCCTATAGACATGAGCAGTACCATGGACGTAACAAAGTATACTGTTTCGCCCATGATATCCCCCATGCGTTGCCATTCCTGAGGACTCAGGTGTTATTCCTCTGTACCCAGTAAATTCACGCCATATCCCACCCTTCAAACCTTATTTATTATATATAAAATTTTATTTTATACAAAAATACTTAAAAAACAACATGCTAAGTCTCTTATGAATTCCAATAACGGATTTTACTTATACAAACAAAAATTTTGATTCCATAGCGAGGTATAGGAGTTAGAGTGGGTGTATGCAAGTAATATAAGCACATGTATGAAAGGAACCTTATTTAAAAACAAAATTTGGTCACCTTTTTATTTAGTTCAATTATAACAGAATACTAATTATTATTATTCAATTATTGCTTTAATTTTTTGGAAAGGAACAACAAAGTTTTCATTCATTCATCCATTTACAGGAATTTATTTCAAACAAACAAAAAAAATACGCAAGTACGCTTGATCAAACAAGTGATAATTCGTTTAATCCTTTACATAAAGACCCCATTCTTGCGACGGTACACTTGCTCTTGGCATATTTGGTCTGCGTTTCGACGGCCGTGCCCTAGATTCTTGTAGCGACGAGCTATATGTTTATCGTTCATTAACACATAATAATAAAATTGTAAATGGCCAATATGTGTACGTGGATAGCGAAAAAAATGGGGAATTAAATGTACTGCAAATGTAAACAGATGCTGTAGCAAAGACACTAGGCTCAATGCAAGGTGAGTTTTTATTATGAGGCTAAGGAAGCGTAAGACATGTTCATTAGTTAGTCTTTGAGAATTCTGTTTACCAATGTACAATTATTAATGCCTTAATGCTTGAAATAATGATGTTGATGAGAATTAAATGAGAACAGAGTGAGAAATAACTATGTTTCCTAGGAGACCTTCAAGAAGTCACTTTAATTTTTTCATGCAACTAAGAATGGCAAACAAGCTGACGTCCCATTTGATGAAAAGTGGTAACCGTTGCCTATAGATATGAATAGTAATATGGATATAACAGTGTATAGTGTCGCCTATGATACCCTTCATGCGTTGCTAACATACTCTTGACTAAGGGTGGACATTTAACCAAAAAATCTTTTATTAATATTAAATCGAGGTAATTAAAGTTTTTTTTTCGACGTTGAATTGAGTACGCTATTTAGAATTATATATTTATTCTAAAAAGTAAAAAGAAATATCTAACTGGGCAGTTAATATAAAAGAAAACATCAATGAGTATGGATATATATTTATAGTATTACATGTATTACATCTCCATATTTAGAAATAATTAAATTTTCATCGTGTCTCCGATCAAACTGTTTATAATTACTCCTCTCCATCCAAAGGTTGCCTGGAAGAGATCGCTCTTAGCGATAAGGTCGCCTATTGTTTTATCACTGTTAAGACTTGTAGCTTTAATAATTTTCGCCTGGCAACAATATCGTAAAAAAGAAAAAAAAAGTCTTGTCTATTGTTATCGAATGTGTCGGTAGAACGCGCATTCGTTGGCGTCGTTCTCGTTTTCGAATATAATCGCGCGCGTGCATATATTGCCGCCAATATCGTACAAATTAATATATGTCGTTTCGTATCGCTTTTAATTATATCACACATAACCAAGAGGCTGATTGAGAGGAGGGTATTGCACTGCTGGTCGGTTCAAGGCGGTGGATAGGTAACCCGGATCTGAGGGTAAGTTGGAACGAGCCAGAAGTTCTGGGAAGTCTAAAGCCAGAACCGAATCCTGCTAACTACAAAGCTTCAGGTCAGTGGTCTCCACCTTCATTATCCTCTTGTATTCATTATTGACCTACCATTATCGTTATAATTCTCATACAGTCCACTAATAACCGTCGCCGGACGATTAATTTCAATTTGTAACATCTTATTTTACGAACGGTTAACACTCGCTATGATTATTTCTTGTAATCGTTTGTATCTATAATAAGTTTACTATTGTAATATTTTTGGAGAAAACAATAAAGGGTATCTATCTAACTATTTATCAATTCAATTTGTTTTGACCCCGTGATACAAACGTGAAATATCGTCATCGTAACATATAAAGGACCCTGTTTTCTGTTTTTGTTCATGACATTATACCGTTTTTGGGAAAAGCAAGAATTTTCTCGAACAGTCGAGAGCCTAAGCCTTGAACTTAAATGTTTTTTTTTTTACGTTGTCGCCAGATACGACTGCTGTTCCGCGTTGGCATACAAGGAATACTGGTTCCATGGAAATTGTTTCTTAAATGTGACTTTTAGCGAAATAACAGTGATCATAGGAGTTTGCTGCGTTGTTCATATTATATTGAAATTTAAAATATTACTGAAGTCTAACTATTTATTATATAACTAGTATTGTAGTTTTTATAAATTTTCTTACTAATAATAATATGTTATATTATGAATACGCGTGTCGTGGCGGCCTTTAATTGAGGCAGCATTTTATAATGTAACCATATTATCAAGTATTTTAAGTAGATATAAATGTAT